ACGTTGAAACAGCTCTACACGCCCAAACCTCCTTCAAAACTACCTTCTCAATATCGTCTTGATTCCCACCTTGAGAGCTCGGATGTTGCATCACCGGCCTCATCCGTTGATGCCCAGTACCTTTTCAATAGAGATCCGCCTGTGACAGGCATGTACGGGTCTTCCCAAGCTCTGCCTGATGCCATTGGGAGAGGTTTGGTATCTCCAGACTCCCGAGTTACAGTGAGGCTCCAGCGGTTGATCAACGACTTTCGTGCACGAGGAAGTGACAAGTTTCGCCGCAAATACGCCGATGATCTGGACCAGAGCATGTCAATTTACTCCGACGAAAAGATCGTTGCCCCACCAGATTCTACGCCTTACACGATGGAACTACTGCTTGAGTACCATTCTCTCCACAGCCTGCAATTCCAAGTTTCACTCGCATCAATTTCACACGCCCTCTCCCCCTCCTCTGCGGCTGAGAACACGTTGTATGATGCTGGATTATGGCCTCGAGTTACACCAAATTTCCTTTTCACACGCATGGCTTCTGCAGCAGGAAATTCTTTGGGGAAGGCTTGGCGTGCTACTCTTGTTCAGCTGTCGCAGATACTTTTGCAACTGCAACACTCACGAAGGCTGTTGGTCTTTGCTGCGAAGAAAAACTGGGTCGAGTTCTTCAAAGAGTTGGAGAGCGAAAGATGTGAAGGATTTGATCCGGAGCTATACTCTGACTGGCTTTTAATACAGGTACGCTATAAAGAAATCAATCGTTGATGGTTATTGATTATCGACATTCTTAGATCGAAAGTCAGTTCTTGGCACGGCCAGTCCAGGTCAAGGTTGCGCTGGAGATGATGTCACCATCCACAGGAAGAAATACTTCTCTCCAACTGAACATGGGTGAAGGCAAATCCTACGTTATCGTTCCCCTCGCAGCAGCCGCACTTTCTGATGGCCACAAACTGATCCGAGTAATCGTGCTGAAGTCGTTGTCGTCTCAGATGTTCCAACTTCTGGTTGAACGACTAAGCGGCCTCGCGCAAAGGCGCATTTTCTATGTCCCATTCTCCCGCGCGCTCTCTATCAACCCATCGAAGGTGCAAATGTATCGTGACCTAATGCAAGAGTGCATGGATACCAAGGGGATCTTGGTCGTGCAACAGGACCATATTTTGTCGTTCCAGCTGATGGCTGTCGACCGTCAGCTGTCCAATCGGACTAAACCTGCTGATGATATACTACGGGCTCAAATACTGCGGACTCAGCTATGGCTAGACAATCACACACGCGACATCCTGGATGAAAGCGATGAAATTCTGCACGTCCGCTACCAGCTGGTATACACTGTGGGTCTCCAAACGTCGCTTCAAGGTCATCCCGAAAGGTGGACGACAACACAACAAGTGTTGAGTCTTGTTGCGAAGCACGCCGCTCGGCTCATGAGCGATTTTCCCTCTCGTTCAGAAGTTTCTATTCGCGAGCACGGGGGATTCCCCTTCATTCGCATTCTGCACCCGACAGCAGGTAACACATTAGTCCAATGGATCGCAGAGGATGTTGTCAATGGCGCGCTTGAAAATATCAACTTCGATCAAGCACCTCTCCACGTGAAAGAAGCTGTTTGCCGCTTTATCGCAACTGAGAATATATCCAGTACTTGTGTCAGCGTGGTGGAGGATCGCTATAAACACACTACAGTCTGGCCAGGCCTCCTAGTCCTGCGTGGATTGCTAGCATGTGGGATCTTGGTGTACGCCCTCAAAGAACGTCGCTGGCGCGTGGACTATGGCCTTGCCCCAAAACGAACTATGCTAGCTGTTCCATTTCGCGCAAAAGATATGCCCTCGCTGCGGGCAGAGTTTGGTCACCCGGACGTTGCTGTCACCCTCACATGCCTGTCATACTATTATGGGGGTCTCACGCTCCAGCAGCTGATATTGTGCTTCGAGCTCCTGCTCAAGCAGGATAATCCTACCCTTGAGTATGAATCCTGGGTGCTTGGACTTCAGTCTGTCCCAGACAGTCTGTGTCATCTTAGCGGAATCAACACGGAATCCGCAGAGCAGCTCCCTGAACTTCAACGACTGTTCGAATTCCACAAGGCAGTCATAGATTTCTACCTGTCACGAGTAGTTTTTCCCAAGGAAGCAAAGGCATTTCCTAGCAAGCTCACCTGCTCCGGGTGGGATCTCGCTCAAGAGAAGAGACATCTCACCACCGGCTTTTCTGGTACCAACGACAATCGGTATCTTTTGCCAAGCTCAATAGTGCAGCATGACCTCGATTACCAACGCAGCACGAATGCCCGAGTCCTGGCGTTCCTTTTGCGCCCAGAAAACAACTGCTACAGACCCATACCACCTGGCCAGAAGGTACAACATTTCATCGAGACCTTGATAGCACAAACCCCCGAGGTCCGCGTGCTCCTGGATGTTGGTGCACAGATGCTGGAATTGAAGAATCAGGAATTGGCCGAGGCATGGCTTCGAGCCAAACGCGACGCCCAAGCCGCAGTATTTGTGAACGACGACGACGAAATCGTGGTTATCAGTCAGGATGGGACAATAGAGCCTCTTGTGTCGTCTCCCTTCGCCCAACAGCTCGACCAGTGTGTGATATATCTCGATGATGCGCACACCAGAGGAACGGATGTCAAGTTACCTTCTGGCTTCCGAGCTGCTGTCACGCTTGGTCCGAAAGTCACGAAAGACCGCCTGACACAAGGTCTGTGATTCCAGAGTTCATGCGTATCAATTTTGATAATAACCAACGACACAGGATGCATGCGAATGCGGAAGTTGGGCAATGGCCACTCGGTGATGTTCTTTGCTCCAACAGAAGTTGACCGAAGCATTCGTTTGGCGACTCAGAAGGCTGATACAGACCGTGTCGATGTTACGGATATTTTGCACTGGTCGATGCTCGAAACCTGTCTTGATATTCAGATGCGTGCATTCCACTGGGTTCAACAGGGATCGGATTTCAACGCCCGGCATTCCGCATGGACTCAATTCTCGCGTGCACCTACCACTTCGAGTTCCACCCTGAAAACAGCCTGGTTACAGCCAGAGGAGCGTTCATTAGAGGATATGTACGCACCACGCAGTCCTTCTCAGGTATCCCATGTTTGCGATGCAGACATTCGAAGCAAGTGTGAGGAGCTCGGAGTTTTAACGGGGCCCGAAAGGAGCATGGATGAGGAACAAGAGAGGGAGGTGATTCACGAGGTAGAGAGAGAACGTCAAGTTCAAAGACCGCCCAAAGTGCAACCCGCAACTCAGGAGTTGCATGCGCATGTTCGTCATTTTGTCAAGACCGGCCGAATTCTCAAAAGGTCACCCGCTTTCATTCCAGCGCTATCCAGCCTCGTCAACACCACCGCTGAGTTTCATGAAGGCGATCGGTGGGCGCACAACGTTTTAGTAACCCGTGACTTCGCTCGTACGGTGGGGACTATCCTTACCACACAGAAAGCGGATGAATACCTGCGGCCCGTCAATTGGATCGTGCTCAGTGATGTTGGAGTGCTGGTAGTCATGAGCCCGAACGAAGTGGATGCACTGCTGCCTGATATCCGCAATAGTAACGCAGTTCAGTTGTGCGTCTATACTCCTCGGACCACAAAAACGATGAAGGCATGCGATGATCTTCAACTGTACCATGTTCCTTCGACGCCACATCTGACCCCAGCGGAACCGCTGATTTGCCAGCTCAACCTTTTTGCGGGTCAACTCTATTTCTCCAGTTACGAGATGTATCTTCGCACTTGCAATTTCTTAGGGCTCAACGCGCCGGATTTGGGGGACGAGGACTTGATAGCCGACAGTGATGGATTCATCAGGGAGGAGAACCGCTCTTCTGCGAGAGCATTGTGTTTGTTCAAGCAATCCCAGCTTCCTCCGCTCAAGAGGTTGTTCGGAATGAGAAGGAAAGGCATGGGGTATCTGCCAACTCACCTCGGAAAGATATTCAATGGGCGCATTCTGACCGAGGGGGATTTCCTGGAATGAGCGCCAGGTCTGTTTAGCGTAAGTTTTTGCCTTTCTGCCAAGGATCTTACTGACTGCAATTCCAGTCAACGTCAACACTGGTCTTCATCATGATGTAATTGTGTTTTGTGAATGTATTTGCAGTTGAATTCGTAGAAACATTATACGTCTTGCTGCAGCGTCATGTACCTCCATATGAATCAGAATGCTTAAGTATTTACAAGAGTTCCGAACCCTTCGGACGGTAACCCCATCTATTTCACAATAACAGACGTCTGTATACTACGTTGGCCGTCGTCTCTTCCTCCTCCTCTCGAAACAGCGCCTGAATGTCTCTGCAACCACGCACTCTCGACAGCGCAGTGTACAGTTGTCCGTGTGCGAAGGAATCGGTGCGCAAGTCGAGAACCGCCTTCTGTAAGGTTAGCCCTTGGCTTCCGTTGAACGTCGTAGCGTAAGCCGCACGCAATGGAAACTGCTTTCGATTGACCGTCCAGCTCGAACCCGGCGGATTGAACGTGAAAGTAATCCGAGGGAGACAGTGTCTTTCCTCCGTCTCGGGAATCTGCACTTCTATGAACCGGCGATGAAGACCGGTGATGCAGACACGCGCGTTCCGTACCAATCCTTTCTCGACTGATAGATTCCGTTGAATAGCGCATACGGCGCCGATCTTGAGGTCCAATCGATGGGGAGGAGTATTGGGATACGCCAACATTGCGAGATAGTCAGGCGTTTGTTCAGGTGCGTCAGGAGGCACCTGTTCAGCTTCTTTCAGATTGCGCTCGCTGTCATCATCATCCTTCGTTCTGCGTGTCATTTCGTGCTCACCATAATCTCCCGGCAATGCATCTAATATCATCTCGTTGAACTCATCTACGAAAACGTTACGCGGAGAAAGGAACAACCGCTGCAGGCAAGAGGAAGCGGAGATCCAAAGGAAAAGGAGCGTCAAGATGTTGGAGCGCCAGTGGAGCTCAAGTGGAGCGCGCACATGGGAGTCACAGGATATTGGAAATCGTTCTGTCCAAAAGGTTTGTCGTAGACATTCATGATGCGACGGCATAAGTTGTCTACACACTGCCATGCTGCTTTGTTTGCCATGGGCAACTCGTCCCATATGATTGCTGTAGCGTTGCGAATGAGATCGGCTCGTGCAGAGAAGGGATGTATGGTGGAGTGAAGATCCGTGCAGTCTCCCGTTACAGGGATCCCGAATATATAATGAGCAGTCCGCCCACGTTTATAAGCTGTCGCACACAATGCGCTGCTTCCGACGATGAGGGTGACGTGTCCTGAAGCGCGCAGTGTGGAAGCCAGCGCGTTCACCATCAACGTTTTCCCGAATGCTAAAACGATCGCCATCATCTGCCAGCAAGCGCGACCGATACCAGTCTACTTCCGACAGATTCGGAATACCATCAATTTGACAGAGGCCCCAACCCATGTCACCGTGAGGATAACATTCGGGCTCAAAACTAAGCCTGTGATGATTGTTTAAGTTGTTCTTCGAGCAAATGCCCATGTACAGCCTTGGCAATCATCCAATGGTAACTCGTGTAACAGCTCTGCGACTATAAGTCACAGCGAGTGATATCGTGATTGAGACCATTGGGCGTAAGCACTTCGGAACTCCCGACCGGTATACAGCTGCATGACCTCAGGAGCAACTGAAGAGCATCACTAATGTTCCTGGCATCCGCAAACGCATCGGAGATGATGTAGTGTGGGTCAGCACAAAATTACCATGGATGCGGTCTCGACTTTGGCTTGTTGTACTTCATTAAAGTGAGAGCACTTAGTGCCCACCCTCGGGCCCAGTCGCCTTCTTTCTTTGGCAAAACACTGGTATTACGGGTTCCATTTGAGATTAGCAACGTCACGATCATCGTGTCTGAGCGGCTGCCCCATTTTGCAAGAGCTCGGGACCATGTGTACCGGTGGCAACTTCAAATGTTGGTGCTATGCTGATTTATACGATTCTTCTGTCAGTCATTACTCGTACGATACAGCCAGTGCCAGCGACTTCGGTCAGCTACCATTATGGTCAGAAAATTCATATGGGAGAAGAGCTTTAGACACACCTTCTCATGCCACCCCAAGAGCACGCTGCCGCTCACATCACCCCAGCCCGGCATCCCCATACCCTTGTAAAGGTACTTCATCAACGTGTCTTGAGTATCCTGGGAGAGCGCTTTCACGACGCTGATTATATCCGATGATTTCGTGCTATTCAGTATCGAGACAACGGTCTGCAACGTCAGGTTCTTACACGAATGTCAGCGTATTGGTGAGATGTGGGCAACAGAGTCACCTTAGCTTCCTCGACGTTTGGCCCATAAGGTATACTGTCCAGCGCGATTCCCAGCGCCCCTGGTATGTCCCCCCTGCGCGAATGAGTAGTACTTAGGTTAGATCATGTTGTAAAGTAGCGAGAAGGGAGCACTATACCTCGCTAACGTGCTCCGGACTGCTGCCTGTTTCTGTTTCGCATCACTCAAGACTTGAGCGGGATCGCGTGGATCTGGCTCGCAAAGCTCGCCCTCCAGTAGGACATCCTCGTCATAAGCGTCGATGTCAATCTTTCTAAAAGACATGGTCGTTGGAATGGAGTCTCGGAGTAGAGATGCTGCGATTAATATTGTCACAAGTCACGTACATGTCTAATTATAAGTAATCGACAGATTCAGTAGTCGAGCATCCTGATTGCTCGAACATGAATTGTTCCCACCAAATGATTATAGTAGTTCTAGTTAATACTGATGGAGATGTCTGTCCGAGAGCTCGTGTCGAAGAATGCATACAACAAACAAATAGAAGTGGAACTTGACCTAGAGGGCCCCGAACTCGCCTATCTGACGAATCCCCCTCGACACGGTAGATGTAGTGTAAGTAGTCACATTAACAATCAATGATTTAGCAAAACGACAGCTAACGATCCACCGAATGCAGATAATCCAAGACCAGCGCAGAATCGGAGCAACTGCATCGCAATCTTTAAGTGGAAGACACGTCCAAGAGGCTATCGAAAGGTGAGACGTTTGGTCCTTGCACACTGCTCGCAGAAGGCGATGGTGTCAGATATGCCGATGTCAGAGGACGGGGACTATTAAATTGTGACTGGGGCTTGATAGAGGTGCGGCTAGGTAGCGGGGGAGCAGTTGTGTTAGTCAGTCGACGTGACGGAAGAGGTGGTGGAGCGCGCTTGATTGCAAAGCTAGACTCAGAGGTAGGTCGGCTGCTGGAGATGGAAGGTGGAAGCAGTTGTGGAGATGCGTGACGCGGGTTATAGTACACGTCTTCTTCATCAATTTTCGCCGTCACCAACCTTGACTCTTCCTCATCCTCAGGAACGGTACTAGTGACACTCTCTGTATCGAAACCATGTCCAAACCTCGCAGATATATGGCTCGTGTCCATAACACGACTTCCAAGAAGGTAATTGACATCGTCTTCGCTATCCTCGCTCGCAGCAGTATAGTGCAAGTCGTCTTCAGATGACTGCGCCGAGACTCGATAAGATGATGGTGACAATGAAATGGTTTCCGTATACGTAGAGGGGAACAGCCCCTTCCGACCGTTTGACAAAACGCCAAGCCACCACTCATCCAGAACTTCTTGGATAACAATAATTTCGTCACCGGCTTTGAAGGTGAGCTCATCTGAAGAACCTGTAAAGTCGTGTAACGCCCGAACAAGCTTTTGTGCGTATTGGGAAGGTGGCTTCATGATTTGAGTCGCCGTTTTTGGGGACCCATTAAGTAGCTCTTTCGCCTTGGAACTGGGTGATTTCCGAGAAAAGGACCGAGAGCTTGGAGGACGGGAAAAGTCAGTGATATCTGTCTCAGGGTCGTCCCCGTTTGTGAGGGCTGCAAAGTTATCTCTGTCTTTCTTCCCTCTTCCCGTCATCGAGCTCATGGCGCTCGATGCCCAACCAGTAATGTTCATCTTCTTACCCGAAATGTCTGCCTTCGGAGTCTCGGGGGCACCAGATGTAGCCTCACTGTCAGAACGTTTCCGTGTAACACTGCTATCGGAGCGTTTACGAGATGCCCGCGACGACGGTCGTGAGATGGTCCTGTTCCCTGCGTCTGACTTCCGGCGGGTAGAAATAGGGGACGAAGTATGCTCGTCGGAACCGTTGGAGGAAGCTACTGCACCAGACGCATGGGAAATCATGGACCCCTTGGATACAGACTGAAATCTGCCATCGTCTGTGGCGCGTGAGAAGACAGGAGGGTGAAAGCTCTTCCGTTGAGTCTCGAACTTTGCCAGAGTAGACCTAAACATATTGGGAATCAGAAGCTAGATCCAGGCTAGCTGGGATGAACATACTCGTCACACCAGTTTGCTTTCACATCCTGCAACACTTCATAGTACTGCTTGGCGAAATTAAGCTTGAGGTCCAAAAACGAAGTTAACTCTCGAAGTTGTTGTATCTCGTTTTCCTGAATAGCCTGCATTCGGGAGCGCACATCTTCAGCAGTTTCTTCGCTATGCCCTTGTCAGTAAGTTAGATGACTAATTCTAGTGTGTTACTCACTAGCGCAGACGGCTGCGTTGTAGCTCATCCTCAGCTTCTCGCCTTTCCTTTTCTTTTTCCTTTTTGCTGCCTTTGATCTTATCAAATTTAGTGATAGCGGCGTCATAGCTCAGCCTGTTGAACCCAGAGTGAGCACCTTCAAGACGGCAAGAGGACTGGCTTATCTTACCTCCTACTCTCCAGCTTCTTCCGCTGGTGTTCGTAGTCCTTTATGTCTTGAACGAAGTTCTGGCAGGAGGTGATGAAGGTATCCTGAAAAGTAAGGGCGAACGCCTCCTGCAGAGTGGCAACCTTGCAATGAGCTCTACCCAACTTCACAAGTGATGTCCCTGAATATATCAACTAAAGTAGCGTAAATCGACAAAGGAGTGGTGGCGTACCGAAAGCAGATTCGTCTCCGAATTCTTCCCCATGTGATATCATTACGATTCCCAGTGCATCCAGCGGCATGAGTTTCTCTGTCTCTTGTATAACGGTCGATTCCTTCTTTTTGGAAAGTACATGCTGGTAATCTTCCGCAGCTGCCTGCAGCCTTGTCACGTAGAATGTCAATTGGTTCTATGCAGTTCTGTGAAAGACGAACGCACTTCAGAATCCCTTCTTTTCGGAGCTCGATGTCCTGCTCGATGTCCTTGAACTCTTCCGCGACGATAGTCTTATCTCGCGAGGATATTTTCTCACCAGCCCACTATTCATTCCAACAGCACTTGAGTAGAGAGGCCACGTATTAGCATAAATCGACGACTGACCTGCCTCAACTTCCCGAGCTGTGACACGAACCGCCTTCATGACTAGCTCAAAAGCAATTAATAAAGGACTTGCCTGTTTACTGGCCATGACAGTGAGAATGAGAAAGGTGTGCCGTCGTAATGCCCAACGTGGGCGCTTATAGCTATTGTAGTCTTTATCGCATGTTTCATTTCGGGTGGTCTGACTTTGGAGTCAAAAAAATTAAGGTCGCGTATACTAGCATGAAATGGGAAATGATCATCAAAAGCTCTTGGCGAAATACACGTAAGTACAACAATGCAACGATTAGAATAAGATAAGACTGCAAAAGCAAGGCCGACATATAGCAAGGAACCGTAGTTCTATAACCTTCATTGCATGCCTCGAGATGCCAGGCGCAATCCCTCATGAACAGCAACAGCTTCCTCAACCCAAGGTAGCCTGAAGAAATCACTCCTACGCAACTCCTCCGCGCGAATAGTGGCACCTTCACTCGGTCCGCTCCCAAGCACACTTTCCAAGTCGCGAGACTGTGATGCCAGCCACGTTTGTATGAAATTAGCTGGATCTCTGGCGAAACTTTGAAGGAATTGCCGCTTCGTGTGCGAGTTATGCAGTGATTGTGATAGCAGCGCAATCTACATTTTTAGGTGTTAGAGAAGGGGTCGGATCAGAGGGAGTGGACATATTACTTCATCATCCAACTTGGTGAGGTCGGACGTGCTGTCTTTACTTGATTGTACTGTCACCATGATGCGGTTCTTCAAACTCGTGTCCTCCATCTTGACTTCGACATCCCAGGCAGAAGGGCGCTCTGGGGGTATCTGTGCTGGGTTGATGGTGTAATAGATAATTACAGGGTCTGGAGGCATCAAATATCGATTGACTAGCTCTGGCAGTTGGTGGAACATAATGCCTTCTCCGCCAAAGATCTGCAACGATGAACTTCATATGATAGTAAAGAGTCAATGTAATCAGCGTACCGGTCTCAGATAATCGTCAGCGCGTATTCTTCGGCGATCTGTTTTGTCTTGCAGGCCATGTATTTTGATGTAGTTCCACATGGCCTGAATTATGCCAATGCGACTCTCCTCTTTGATTCCCAAGACGTTGCCTAGGGACTATCATCAGGTCGAGAATTGAAGTCGAGATGCACGAGACGTACCCAGGTCTGATGCCACTTTATACCGCTCTGGTGTCTGCTCGAGATATACTATGATGCGCACTTTCGTCGGCTGGTCCCCAGTTCGCCTTACGGTAAACCCATCGAGAGGCTGCTGAATAGTCGGACCTCGAGGCCACTGAAACAACGAATTAAAATAAGATGACCACGTCATATCAACTGAGCCCGCTTACCTCGATGACATTCCCATCTGGATACAAAGTCGGGTCACGGTCAAGCTCAACGATCATTCGTTTGATGAGAGTGGAGAATTTTGGAGGAGAAACCCTGTCCCGCGCACGTTGGTTGGGAAGCTTTACGGGCGTTAGAGCAATGCGTTCATCCGCTGAAATAAACGTACCTCTAATAGTCGCCCCTCAACCTTCAGAGACCAGGCTGGAATTCCCTGCCCCGTCTCAAAGTTCACGCCCTCGGCACCAGCTTCGCCAGCTTGCCACAGCTGCCCAGAGACCGTATGGCTCAAAAATAGCCGCAGTGTGCGCGCAGTCTGATAATCTGTTAGTACCAATCATATATTGCAAGCATGTGAAACCTACAGTCGGATTGCGCGCCAATGCGTCTTGGACTTCTACCTTTTTCCGGTTCATTGTCCAGTCGAGCCTCTTTTCCATCTCTAGCAAGCTTCGGTACATGTGTGAGTCCTCAGCGAACTCTGGAAGCTGCGCAAGAGCATTTGGGACGGATTTATCTGTGATTTTGCGTCTCCTAAGGATTTTTTCAGTATGTTGAGCATAAGGATTTATGAACTTCATCGTACTTAGCAGCTTTTACCCCGTCCATGGCGTACGAGTCCGACGCTTGCCTAGCACAGTAGTACGGTAATGATTTGGCAAAGTTTTGCTTATGTAATGTTTGATTCGATTATCGTGGGAGTCAGCCAATTCCAGAACATTTCGATCCTAGGGTATGATACCGACCGTCCGACCCTATCCAGCAGCATTCGCCCCGGATATGACTCAGCGTGACATCTACAAATAAACAATACCAAGCACACCACCTTGAACTACGTCACTCTTTCCCCGCCCCCGCCCTCGCCCTTTGTGTCGTGGTGAATGTTGGAGGTGGGCCAGTAGGAGCTGATGATGCAGCAACTGCAGCACCTCAAGGGTTGATGGTATTGGCGTAGTCATTGAGTGCGGTGCAGGGAGGTAAGCATGTAGCGGCGCTGTTAGGTAGCGGCTTGGCTAAATGTAGTAATATCCCTGACGTTGTGCGCAAGGTGGCTGACAGCGAGGACGTGTGGGAAACAGCGAGCTTAATACATGATTATTGAATGTAGTATATTTTACTATATTATGTGTTGTTATTGATGCGTGGGAATGATTATTATTATGCTGGCGCGGATGCGGTCGGACGGTCGGATATCCCAGATCGAGATGTCCTCGCCAATTCAAAGTCGTTTGTGCAACGGATCTCAGTGTGCGCGTTCAGGCCGTTTTCTTTTTTTTTGTTTTTGCAAAAAGGTCTTGTTGATCTTTTGCTACTATGGTGCAAAATGGACGCTAAGTCACATGCACATCTCGAAGACGTGCCACGGCTACGTTGAAGACATATATAGTCCTAATTAGAAATATTGCTCCGGTGCTCTATCCAATCTACGGTGTATCAACAACAGCTTGATTACCCTCCCACTTTCAAACCTCGCCTCGACTACGCGCTTCCGCAAGACTCAACTCAATCGCAAATTTCAAATCCGCGTCCATTTCATCTAAATCTGGGGTAGCCCGGAGCTCTTCCTCAGACTGCCTATCATTATTTTCTGTGCTTGCAGAAGACGTGCGCAAGATAGGTGTTCCAACATTTGGGGATGAAGGCGGCGACCGTAAGGGTGTACTCCACGCCGAACGATTGTGTTCTAGGCTGCTGGTCGACGAGGAAATGCTAGAGCTGGTCGAGGGAAAGCGTTCGAAAGAGCACGACGGGCTGCGAGCCACGTCCGGTAAAGACCTTGTACTCGTCGAAGAACCTGGCAGGGATGCAGGTATCCTGAGTGGGCTTATGGTGATGCCGGCTTCCATAGGTTCCGGGACGAAGACAGGAGACACCTGTACTTTCTCATCCGTCATAGGACGTGCGGCACGTGGATAGGTGCGAGAATGGCGATCGTACAGAAGACTTGGGAAAGACTGGTTCGAAGCAGGTAGTGCAGAACCATGGCTTGTTAAAGAACTTGAAGCGACTGGCAAGAACGTTTCGTCTTCAAAGTCACCCTCGAAGACGCCTTCATCGATGGTATGGGAAACTCGGCGATGCTCTTCTTCCTCGCGGGAGAGCATCAGTACATATTCTATTGCCTCTGACTCCGACAGTCCAAGCACGTTCAAAGTGGAACGTTGCTCGCGTTCTCGCCCCATGGTACGTCAAGCATAAGCATTCTCCTGTTCCAGTTCGCGTTTGGATTCTTTGATAACCTTGTGCAAATCGTATCGCTCTGCAACATTTGATCAGTCGAGAATCTACAAAGTATGGAACGTGCATACGTTGTCCTTTGGAAATTGGGTTCCTATTCGCACGAGCATGTTTGCTTTTGTGCGGAGCTTCGCGGTGGTGTACTTGTCCCACCTTCCATGACATCACCCTATTGTCAGCGATAATGACCAAAAGTTCCTGTTCAATCACAATCCTGCTGACGCCTCCAAATTCGCGACCCGGTGCAGCACGCGGGACTGGGGACGAAAAGAGCCTAAGAGGCTCCAAGGTGAGCGCGTCCCATACGGTCGTTGTACCGCGTGCAGAGCCTGTGGCAAGAACAACCGAGCTCCAAGCAAGCGCAGTCACGGCACCATCTTCGTGAGCCTCGAATCTGCGAGCAGGTACGACGGGAGAAGATGTTTGCGGAGTGTCCCAATCGTAAATGCCAACGAAACCTTGCAGATCACCAGTGATGATAAAACTGTAATCATCTGGCTGAGCTGCAAAGAAAGATTCGACGATGGAGTTGTATCCGAATGAAGGATCACCAAATGCGGTGGTTTCCGACACGATAGAAGAACGGGTGATCGGAGTACCTGATGAGTAGCGCTGCCGTCGTCTGTGAGTGACGACGAACACACAGCACAGTTGGCCGAGGTTTGGGTATGAATATATCCTGGGGAGATGACTGTGCCTTTGGAATGGGCGAGACGATGCGATGTTGTGCAAACGATGCCGGGCTGGAAAAGTCATCCGAATAGACTTGTCGAGACGATGTCCATAAAAGAATGTCTCCGCTATGCAAAGCACCCGCGATGATGCAGTCTGCAAGAGCAGAGGACACCTTAAGGAATGGGTCAACCACAAGCGATTAAAGCTGCTTGTCGCTAGACCACAAGCACACAACCGTCTTAGTATCCCACAACTTGACTTGCCCGTCAGCACCTCCGGAAACAAACCGGCTAACAACAGGATCCAACGCAATTTCGTTCACGGCGCCGTCGTGGTGATCTTCGAATCAGAGTCAAGAGTAAGCTCCATCATGCCAATAATTCCGCTCATGGGCGTCCTATGAGACATTGAGCAGAATGTCGAGATGAGAAGTGAGAACAGTGTTACCTGATTTTGTGCGACATGTTTGCTAGGAATTCAGATTTACTCCTGTTCGCCAGCTCAGCTGCCTCGCTCGCAGCGGTATTTTCCTGGATGCTGTCACGTAGATTGAATACCATCTGATTGATCTGTGTTTTCAAAGAGTCCATCTCTCCGCTGGCCTCAACAGCGATGAAACGAGTGAAATCTCCGTCCATAGCAGCTGCCGAGATCTGGGCAAATCCACGTACTTGTGCGGTCAAGTTACCGGCCATAGTGTTGACGGACATCCTACAACGATGTCAACACCCATTTCCACGGATCATGTCCCTTACTTACGTGATTTCTTGCCAGATACCCTGGATGTTGCCCACCTCAGCCTGGACACCCAATTTACCCTCTGTACCGACTTCGAATGCGACCTTCTTGACTTCCTTGGCGAAGATTACCAATTGAGCAATCATGTCGTTGATAGTGTTGACTGGGCTTAGCATCTCTCCGGACACAGAGACACCAGTGATTTGTTGAGTCAAGTCTCCACGGGCGACAGCAGTCTGACGACAAGCTCAACATAAGGACTGGGTCAGGGTAAGCAACGCTCACGGTCGCGACAGCAATAGTTCGGACTTGTAAGGTCAACTACAATGCCGAACAATCAGCGTAAGGGGCATCAAAGATGGAACGGACCTACGTTAGCAGCTATGACATTCACGTTGTCCGTCAAGTCCTATTTGAGATAAGTATCGATTCACAAGTCTGTGCAACGTACTCACCTTCCATGTACCACCGATGTCGCAGAGCTTCGTGTATCTGACGCGCTGACCACTTCCACCTGTAACGTGATCTTCTTGCCAAGCTCAGAAAGAGGATGTCACTGCTGCGGATACCCGCTCGCGTTCCTCGCGCTCAAGGCGACTCTTCTCTTCTGCTGCGGTCTCGTGTGGCTGTCCATATAGATTATCAAATGGTGAGTTTCCCGGGAGACCACCACTGCGTGGTCCCGCAGCATCTGAGGCACGGCGTATGTCACGAAGAGAGCCGCTAGCAGGGCCTGGACCAGATGCACTCGCAAGTACGGGAACACCAGTTTCAGCCACCATAGGTGCATCTACCGGGATTACGATGGGAGGAAGCGAGTGATCCCCCGGAATTGGTGCAGGAGATAGATTGAGTGTCCTCGGGTCAATAGGAGGAGGAGAGTGCGACGCGTCTCCGAACTTTTCTGCGGCTTGAGGTGGAGGTGTGATCGGCACACCTGGATGACCGATATGTGAGTGAAAAAACATGAACATACAAGCACCCGCCTGAGGCAGGCGCAAGTAGAACCAGAGCTGCCTCCGCCTGAGGCAGAAGTGGTCAACTGTGGGTAGGTATTTACGGAAGCAAATTGAACGAAGTGTTTAAGGACACCTCGTGTATTGTGTGAGGCCCTCGACCATCTAGGCGCGATATAAATTGCACAGCTTTATCAAGAACCCTTAATCTTCGACGGATAGGTCCGGAGGGCTTGTTGCTGGTGCACTGCTGCATGGAGTTGGTAAGCAAACGATGAACACGAGGCACATAAGAATGGAGCGTTATACTTGCAGTCATTGTCCATATACCCGTAAAGTGACCCATGCCGTACCGTCAAGGATTTTGAGCAAGCCGTATGTCATGCGGTACGATATGGGTGGTACGGGCCGTATACACATTCTAGTACATCTTATGGTAAAACATGTTACTCCCGAACATTGGCGTCCGCGCTAGCTTCCAAGCCGCGCTTTGTGTATCGCCTCAAGTCCGGAGCTGAACAAGTCATACATAGCATACAGAATGACTTCTGCGGGATCACAGAGGACGCACGGAGACCTCCAGCCATAGCAGGGCTCTCCCCCGCAGAAGATGAAAACTGAGTTTGCGAGAAACGATGACAAACAACGTTCGAATTTTCCATTTACACTCACATAAGCTCGAACTTGAACACGAAATCACGTGATAAGAACTGAAGTATACTGACACCCGAACGTCACGATTCCCGCTCTAGAGTCATCTGCTATGTCCTATTTTCAGGAAATTCTGTATGGATAATTTAGCTAGTCACGTATATCCGTCTTGAACAGGTGAGGGCCTGAAAACTCATCTTTAGATCTCGCTAATGTGGCTACATGAACGTTTTTACCATTAGCCAAACTCCTGGGCGTGAACGCGCTAGTTGGCACGTTCACTGGTCTTGGGATGGGCATTCTCACTGTCGACTGGTCCATGATCTCGTGCATCAGAAATCCCTTGGGGACGCCTTGGTGGTCTGAAGCCAACACGGCCGCTGCCCTTGTGATTTGTTTCTGGATCATTACGCCGATCATCTACTGTGTGTTCTCTCCCCCTTTCATTGTGTAAATGTACTTACAGTGTCTCGCAGTCACCAACACTTGGTTTACCACACACTTACCAATCTCGTCCTACTTGACCTTCGACAACACTGGATTGCCCTATGACGCTGCTCAGGTGGTCGCCAATGCTTCTTTCAACGTCGCGCAGTACGAGGCTTACTCGCCCGTCTTCATGACGGCAACCATGGCTATTGTATATGGTGTCTAACTTGTATTTGTAAGTATAACTCAGTGTAATCATACACTGTAATCTCAGTGTACCCGTTGCTCGTTACAGCAAGTCACCATCTCTCTACACTTTCGGTGTGCCTGTCCATTTCATTTCGGACTAGCACTCATTTACACATTTTCTCAGTTCCATACATTTCGGCACACGACCTGTAGATGCATCCCAACCAATTGAACGACAGTCCCGACACTGGAATTTCAACTTCAAGTTGTTTTCCGGAGGTCATCCCATGCGCACCGTCGATGTACTTCTTGCTCAAGATGAAGTTGTGAGTGACTTATCATCCCTCCAATTTCGTTCCATCAAAATACACTGCAGAGACATGGCTAGACGTGTGACACGATCACACTCAGTTCAACTCTCGTTTCCCTGCACCTGTGTCTAACTCCTCTCATAATCAATATTCGCCGCCGTGACTATCACCCACACACTCGGATCCATCTCTCCTCGTGCACTTCCTTTCCCTTGTGCTACTATCCTTGGATCCTCAAGGATGGTGTATATTCAACCGAACTTGAGAAGTCCCTCCTCGGTGCAGATGTTAATCGCATTGTCAATCACCTGTCTTTTGGTTGGTATGAGTCTTTGTTCCAGTCATACATGGCGAAAAAGGTATGATACATGAACGCCTCGAGTCGAGCGATACTGACTTTATCCGGTGCCATCTTCTTCAAGCTGGTCAAAGTTGTGTCGTCCATGGGCGAACAATCGATGGGGAAGAGCTTTTCCTTGAACCATCTTGTGGATACGTTATTCGCGGGATCGGCCATGTGTATGACAGAAGGGGTTTGGATGTCAGTAACTCCGACTAAAGATGCTCTTATTGTTGCTTTGGATTTTGAAGGTATGTCGAATTAAACCATCAGTGGACGTTTCACATTGATATCATTCTTTGATAGGTGTTCATAGTATTGAGCGTTCTGCTCAAGAAGATACATTGCTCATGCTATTCAATACTGCGATCTCTAACTTGGTTTGCTGCCCGCTGTATGTTTCTTATGGTTGCCTGATATCGTTTACGTAGGTGCTATTCCGGAACAACTTCGCCCTGAGCCGAGACATCACAGGCTTATTCCAGTCGTTCCAATCAAGCTCGACCGTCCTCGACCCAGCATCTAACCCGAGTCTATTTCAATCAACGTTGGTGATCATAATTAAAATACTTTCCCATCTCTTGAAATTTGTTTTTTATGTGTTTTGACATATCAACTTCTAGGATGTCGTGGATTTGGACAAAGCAGAAATCACTAGAGAGTACGCTCCAGACAGTGTCCCCATGAATGCATACTCAAATCGTCACTCAGGTTCGCCCTCAAGTTTCAGCAGATAGTTCAAGATGAACAAGAGGCCAACTTCATTTCTCGCCTTCACGCTGGGCAGTTGAATATCATCCCTTGGTATGTGAGATGTCTCGCATGGTCTCATTGGTTGATTGTTCCATGCAGGCCGGTAATTGAGTCGCAGGAATTCTATAAGTTGTTCCCAACTCTCAAACGTCGACTGGATAAACAAAAATTGACGCATCATACAGCAGGAGAATTCCTTCATGTCACGTGCGTACTCTTAAAGAATCCATAGTTCAGTTGATCAACAACACACCGCAGAATCGATGGCCTCGCATCGATGTACCAAGTCGATACCACCAGGCCTGGGATTAGATGGGCCAGTGATGCCTTTCAAGTTTACCTCCGGAATCATGCTCAAATTCTTGCGCCGTACTTACAAGCAACACCAGTGGTGCGAGATGAGTTCCTGCGCTACACAATGCCCCGCATTCGATGACAAGCAGTTCATGTGAGTGTTCTGCGCGCCTTCACCCAAACGGCTCAGTATGTCAGTCACCCCGATTGTAGGCATCACACCTTTGTAGTGATTGACTTGGATTCTGGATCCCATGTCGTCTTCGCAAATCGCACCAGGGCGAAGTTGGGGGAAATGCTGTGGGAGGAGGTGCTTCTCAACGCGCAAAAGGTATGATTTCGTGGCCCATGTTGACTTTGGCAATGCATACATAGGCTACCGAACTCAATCCTTCGAAATGTAGTTACTCTGTCGAAGACATTAACTGAATGCACATCGCCAAAGCTTGCTCCCAAAAATGCCTCCTGCTGTGAATGGTCCCGTCATCGATAAACTGTGCCAAGTAAGCATGTAGGTGAGCAAGTTGTTCAGAAGACAATGGACGGTCGGGCTCGTCCACTTCAATAAGATTGAGGGTCTCTGGAACGTAGGCCACAAAGGGGTTGTTGCCAAGAGGGTCTGGTTGGTTGACCATGTCATGATGTGAGCGAATACCATGGTTATCTACACCATCCCAATCGATCCCATACTCAACAACAGCTTCGTCACTTTGAAGGGTGTCCTCTGGAGGATGAAATGTAGGTGCCACCTCAAATCCACGCGCACCATGCTGCAGCATACTGAGGAAACGCATTTCGTGGAGGCTTGACATGCCATGGTCATAGGTACTCATCCTATGATGGTTCCATGCCTCAGCCCAGCCATGAATCTCGCGTCCCAGGACATCAAGGAATAAATGATGAAGCAGCCATATGTGGTGCGCATTGTCGACATTGAGCCCACTGCTGACTTCCAGATCTTGAAAAAAAAGTTTCCACTTGGAGCCGATTCCGTTGGTCAAATCCACCCATAGGCGCTCAATACGTATATTATGGACACTTCTAAAGGGTGCATTAGGAGCGCTCAGACAAGTGTTCTAAAAAGAGCAAGCATACCGCCCCCATATATATGATCCTCGTCCAGGCCCTCGTGAAGCCTCCATAAATCTAGCAACTTCTACATTTTCGACTCCATCATGCGCCTCCCACGTAGTGGTTTTGCATCGAGTACGTATGCACTTTCATGCAAAGCAGGTCGAGATGACTAACGTTAGTGGCATTCGCAGTGGCGGCGCCAATGAGATTGCGTCTTGCATGGAACAATATATTTGCAAGAAAAGCAACAACGCTATCACTTTCAACTCCGGAGTGACATCCATTGGAGTTAAGAAGGATAACACTGACATGGACATTGTTACAGACAACAAGGATCATCACGAATTCTCGCATGTCATCTCTACTATCTCCTTACCTGTTCTCCGCACCGTCAAGCTAATCTCTCCCCATGCCGTTGAATGCTCCGCGAACGTTGAACTATGGTCCTTCCGTTAAGATTGGAATGCTGTTCAGAACTGCATGGTGGACGACTGGGACGGATTTGAGCGGAGATCCTCTGAATATAGTTGGAAGACAGATGTACACCAACAGGCCTTTGTGCACTGCCGTTTACCCTTCCTTTGGAAGTGTCCAAGCCGGGACGACAACTACGCTTATTGCCAGCTATTGCTGGACGGAGGATCTTACTAAACGATTTGTAGTCTTGCACTCACATTCACGTCTCGCAGCTAGACATCTACGCTCAGGTCTATGGTGCTATTCTTCGTTCATGATTGGGACTCCAGTTGCAGGATGAGTGTGATCAAATTTGGCTCCGTGTACACTTACTCGTGTGTTCTATCTAGGACCTAGGTCACCGACTGCGTTTGGACCGCAAATACGGTCGAAGTCCTCTCGAAGTCCTCCGGCGGTACGCTACATTAGCCAGGCACCGAGGTAGGATGGTCCTAGACAGAGCAGCTGGCGCGAGCGGGTGTACTAGTGCGGGCGTGTAGCAGCTTTTTTTGTTGCTTTTGTAGCAGTTCAAATGCATTGAATTTTCCGTTGATTTCAAGTTGCGTCAATACATTCTGAGAACCAACGGATGCAAGTCATCTATTCAAATCTACGGAAATCCAACTACTCAATATTCCGTAGACCGGCGTCAATCAACGTCGCTATCAGTCGTCTGAGTACCGACGGAACGCGTCATTTGTCGACGCTCATGTACGGATATCCAGCTGTTCAGATTCCATCGATTTCCGTCATTCTCCGTGCGAGGGCATCTGTGCGATTCTTACTGTGGGTACCAATCCCCGACTCCGCAAGAAGACACTAAGACAAAATATGATTCGCAGATACTTGTAAGACAACGATGTTGGTCATTTATACAGTTTCAAGCTAAGACAACTCGAAGGCATACACTTCTCAACAGAGGGAGCTTCACGAGAGGAAAGCTCGCGCAAGACAACACAATGACAGTAACCTGCATCTAAGCGCCTGACTGCTCGATCAGATGCGATGGGATACATTCTGGAAGCTGTGGAGACAAGAGTCGGACACATGAATGCACCGAGGCAAACAGCCTCGTGTCCTGGCGTCTATGAAACTGAGGCAGATTGACGCAGTGAAGTAGCATAAAATACACAATAGACACACCTGTAGATCTGAAAGAAAGTCATCCACAATCCCTCCAAAGTCCAACACTATCAACCTCCAGTAAAATGTAGGAGCCAACGAGACGCCACTTTGATTCCGATCGTGATTCGTGACATACATGTTGTTGTCTGAAAGCCTTCAGCAGAGAAATACCTCTGAGTAACTCGACAAAGCCAGATAAGATAGGCTACCGGGAATTAGACACCGTACGATGAAGATCTCTGCCAGTCTTCGGATAACTGAGAGCTAGCAGGCGGTAGAAGAAACCTATGACCACAGTAGGGATAAGGGAAAAACTAGGAAGTCAATGTGTGAGCATATGATTTGTTAAGACTCGAGATGTGAGTGCATGAGCAGTGACCTACACAAGAGTGATTCTATTTTTGATGCGGGAGCGGCTGACTATGTGACTGTGCCAGACGGGCTTAGGGTTAGGGTTGGTCGGATCTCAAAGTTCAAAATCCGGTTAGTTATGGAAAGCCGGACACTCGTGCTCAAATCTCAACGAAAAATTTCCTAGTATAGTAATTGGACCTCGACCACCGTTCTAGTGTATTTGGTTGTGTTGATCAGTGCAAACCTATTTACTTGTTTGAATCTAAGTCGAGCATATCATGATGAAAACTGAAGGAAAACAAGATGTCATCTAAGCTACTTCGCCCCCAAACTCCTCGAGTTCAAACCCTGGCCATTTGCAAAAGTGGTTGCAAATGTGGCGAGTCTCAAATTCACTGACGGCTTTCTCGATGTTGCCCCCCCCAAACATATCTTTCTGCTCGCTAACTGAAGGATGCGTCATAATCTGTGGGTCGGTCAACAGCTTGTCGTTGCCTGTTTGATTCTAATGTAAGAATTGCTGATGCGCAACCATGTAAAGTACATACCTTGATAATCGGAGATGAAGACGAGCCCACCTGTCTTTGCATACTGCACATGTTGTGTGAAGGCAAGAAACAATGCGAAGTCATACCCGGATTCATCTGGATCAAGTAACGGGTTGGGATCCATGTTGTGAATATACTTGACGAAATCCTCGTCTCTGCCATCGATAACTTCCTCGAGAAGAAAACATGCACGTGCCGATGTAACCTTGGATGCAGGCTTGCTATTATCTTGATAGTAAGATAGTGCGAGACCGGCTTCAACAAAGCGGACACGGGGAATATCGAATGGTAAAGGATCGGAAGCGCCTGCCACAGCACGGTCAATAAAGTCGTAGACGAGACCCAACAGAGCCTTAGCCCAGTATAGGACGTTTGCCTCCCTAAATAATTTGGCCGACTCATCCTTGGGCGCAAAGCGTCCAATTTTGAACTCCATATTGGCCGGCATGCCTTTAGGATATACCTTCTGGAATGGACGTTTCACAACAATGTCATGGCGTGCCCTGGACCCAAGACCTGAGGTAGGAGGCGACATCAATGTCAACCATCCGGCATGCGCAGTTTTGAATCCGCCCATGCCAATGCGTCCCTCGAGGGACGTGTCAACCGTAACATAGCCCACTGATGAATCGGCATTGTCCACAGAAAATGCATGGTACCGAGTACACCTCAAGAGGTCGTTGAGTTGTCGAGTGGGGATTGCATAAAAATGAATGTTTTCGGTCTGAAACTTAGAGACTTACATCTTGGTGAGCATGTTGAACACATACACCAGCAAACGATGACGTACCCTGCTGCATATCCAAATCGGCACCTCCGCCAATCTGCAGGGCCGTCTTGAGGTCATTGCGATCAGGAGAGCAAAGAAGTGCTGGAGAGGGATTACGAGGCGTTTTGCGAGGAGGTCGAGGAGGTGAAATGCTACTAGAGGTGGAACTTATTGCACGTTCATGAGTCCGCTTGATAGATGAACCACTGGCAGTGGTAACTGGTGCATTGGCGAGTGAAGGGACTGGGGTAGTAGCGGCCGGCGCTAACTCAGAATCGAATGGGGGGTCATCAAAAGGTGGGTCGTCAAACGGTGGGTCGTCAAACGGTGGGTTGTCAAATGGTGGGTTGTCAAATGGCGGGTCATCCGTGTGTGATTCCACTGAGTCGGCAAACAGTGGTGCCCTGTGCTTGCCCTTAGCACGGTGGCTTGAGTGTTTGATTGCCTGTACCATTCAGTGTAAGTTAGTATAGGTAACAATCATACAACAAATAAACGTACCAATTCATTTGCTTCTTGCCAATCTTCAAATTCGGTCCATTGAGCCTCTGGCACAACTACCATAAGGCTAAATTGTTTCGTCTTGAATATCGGGGCCTTCGTTGGACCTTTGCGGGCAGGCTGAAGACACTGAGAGTAGAAATAAGGGATTGATGGCTGGTGCGTCGCGAGATCAACCCATTTTAAGTCTCGCACAATGAATTCATGATCGCGCCAAGAAAAGGCGCCGCTAAATGCACGTAGCTTCGGCAGAGCAGTCTCCAAAGCCAAGCTGATGAGGCTTGGGGCGTCAATTTGGGCGTCAATATCCTTCTTGCCCTCGCAGATATTCTAAATGGAATGTGCCGGTTCAGCCAGGTATTGAAGGGAGTGCACAGGAAAGGACATACCCCAATTAATATACCTCTTGCTTTCTTACGCCCCCCTGCTTCATGAACAGCAGAGATCTCCAGTGAAATCGTTTCAGCCATTGCGCCACCGGGAGTAGCATACGCAAGTTTTGACCATTTCTGATGCTCAGTCGAATACGATCGATGGTGAGCTGAATACCCAATGGGACCCGTAAACCGCGATGGTACAGGTGAGGCTGCCGGCCCCTGCCAAGACGTAGGAATAGAGATATCAGGCCCAGTAATTGTACGGCTGCGATGTGAAGGGACAGGTGGTGGGCCCATAGTACCATTCGTCCAGTCGGTGATTGCAACGACGCGTGGCGGATTCACACTTACTGTCGGCCATGGTCAAATTGAGTTCATCAAGTAAGAGCAAGCGACTTACATTTACGTTGGGCAGCATTCACTGACTTCCGAATGATCTGAGGGTCAGGCCTTACTAGTTCACTTGACAGATGCTGAGAATTAACTGCTGGCGTTGATGCTAACATAAATACATCAGTAAACAATGTTGAGAAAGCGGCTATCAACTCACTGGTGGGTCTCTTGGATGTTACAGACCTCATTTCATATCGTCTATAGCACGGCGCGCACACATTGCGCCCAGATCTGCCAGGTTGCATTGTAGCAACGTAAAAGCAAGGTTGGCCCTTTGCAATCTGAGCACGACAAGTTGGGCGCTCGCAGACCCGATCTTCAGTGGCAAATGCATCCTCCGTAAATTGACAGACCACCTCGTTTGGGTTAGCCATATGAATGAGAGGGACGGTGTGAGTGAGTGAGACTGCGCCAGCGCATGCCTTAAATACAACAAAAACAAGTTAATAATTTAGATTTATATGCATAAGAAAACATACCAAAAATCTCAGTGTACTGCAGAGAGCTCCGGAACATTGTTCACCGGAATATGCACTGGATAAAACGGAGCGCGAGCTGCAGATAGCAGAAGGTGCGATGCAGAGAGTTGCACTGGCAGCAAGTTGTGCCACCAAGAGCTGCAGAGATACTAACTGAGGAAATTGCACTGCAGAGAAGAGATCAGTTATAGTACTCTGTATATACAAATTTAACGGACCATGCAGAGAGTTGCGCTGCGCAGTGATGTGCTGCAGAGAGATTAGTAGAATGTACATTGCATATAGCGTTAAGTCTTACCAATTCAAGAAGACACATTCTATATATGACTCTACAACCCCCAGGATGTCGTCCGCCAGTGGATTTATGGTGAGTAGAGCTGTTGTAAGGTCCTCGGACGACTGAACCTGGACAGAGCAGTCTCATAGTGGGCTCACGCCAAGAAAATGGTCGTGGGTAGTGCGGCTGGTGTTGCTGGTGTTCCTAGTGTCTCCGACCCAATCCTTACTAGTATGTACAGTGCCTCTGAGTCTTAAATACGGTGAATGACATGACAGTAGCTACACCATCACCAGTGCTACTCAAGTCAATGCCTAACCAATGGAAGCCTACTCGTACGTCTACCCCGCCTTTGTTTTGATTTCACCCCTACTAATTCACTTCCCACTCGCATCCAATTAGCACCTTTGGATGTGATCCGACCGCACATCCTTCGCCTTTGGAAGGCACGTCAGACGGACAAGCAAATTGTCGCCGAATTACAGAAACATTTCGATACTTCACAATATGGTCTTGCGTAAGTGTATAGTCCTCCTCCTTCAATTGCAGCTATATTCTGACGGCGTGCTCACAAAGTTCCTCAGAATTCGTGAAGGCATGGGTCTTCGAAGAACGCGCCAGCAAAATCATAGCATCGAGACTATCCGTGACGCTATGACCAATTTACGCGCAATGTATCCCAATGCCGGAGCACGAGAAGTTGTAAGCTTATTGTTTCATGAATGGGACATGAGTGTACCCAGGTAATGTTTGCTTTTATTCTCTTTCTAACACTGTATCCTAATTGATGGCTATTGTATCACAGGAGTATTGTCATATCTTACTTCCGCGAATACGAGCCGGAGCTCGTTCGCCAGCGCAAGGCCAATCGACTTCGAAGGAAACGGTTTTGGGCTGCGGGCGTGAATGATCTATTTGCCGTTGATCAACATGACAAGTGGTTGAGGTACGGTCTTGGCCTCCATACTGGCATCGAGCCATTCTCAGGGCGCATTATGTGGATGAGAGTCTGGCACTCGAATCGGAACCCACAGCTGATCCTTAGTTATTATCTTGACACACTCGAGACACTCGGACGTAAGTCATTTTTTCAGTCTTATTAACACAGCACTGATCTACTACCTCTACATACCAGACATGCCTATGGTGACCCAGAGTGACCCTGGGTCAGAAAACTATGGAATCGCTAACGCTCACACCATGCTACGTCAGTGGCATGATCCTGCCCTGCAGGGTAGCCTACAACACCGGTGGATGAGGACGAAGAAAAACATAATGCCGGAGATAACATGGTCGCAGATGCGACGTCGTTTCACACCTGGGTTTGAGACACTACTTGACCGCGGTGTCACGTCTGGTTGGTATGATACTAACAACACTCTCCAATTGTACGTCCTTTTGTGTGTCCTTACATCAATACTAACTGGCAATTGTTTAGGATGATTTTTCGCTGGGTTTTTATACCCTGGTTACAGCGGGAGCTAGACGCTTACCAGGACCGAGTGAATAACACTAGAAAACGGCGGGACCGGAACAAGATCCTTCCCCATGGCGCACCAGACATTATCTACCAATCGCCCGAGAACTTTGGCGTCTTGGACTTCAAAGTAAGTGATATTCAAGTCCTGCTCATTCTGCAACGTGTTCTTGTTCTTACCATTTTTTTTTCCAGATCAAAGTTGAACGTGAAGCGCTAGACCACGTCCGTGATATCTATATCGATTCTTCCCATATTGTCTTCGACCTCGTTCCAAAACCATTCGCCGAGTTCATGGAACATTGTTACACAGAGCTTGGACGCCCATTAGTCAAAAGGGAGACCGTTTGGGATGTATACCTGCACTTACTTGACGTGGTGCAGGTCAATGACGAGATGATACCACCTCACATTGAATTGTTAGATGAGGCGGAGGAGGATTCAACGGCTTTGCCGCTTTTAGAGAGCCATCGAGACTTGCCCGATCGTGAAGATGGAAGTGGTGCCTACTACATGGGTGGGGTGGGTGGCGGTCTTGGTCTTGGTACGCCGGTTTTATATTTTGATGCAAACAACACAGCGAGACTAATATCTACACAGTTGATGAGAATTTGCATCAGTTGGAGAGTCTCGCCCGTGATGACAAGCCTGAAATCACGCTAGGCATTGACGAAGATGCTGTAGGATTGGATCATGCAGGTTTGGTTGTTTGGGATTTCTCAGATGGCGATGACTCGGACGTGCCAGATGAGTGGTGACTTGCATTGGTTTATTTTTTGTAAGGCTTCGTTGTAGCAGTATACCATGGACTACAAACACCAATCCTAATTTTTCAATTGATTATTGCAGTCGCTTTGTTGCTTATTAGCGATAGCGGTGTTCGTGGTCTCGCAGAAGACACGACCGTATTTAGTAATTTTTCGTTGAGATTTGAGCACGAGTGTCCGGCTTTCCATAGTTAGTCACTGCTTGCAAGTTGTGCCGCCGCACCGTGACTTTGCGCCGTACGGTTGGTTTTCGGGACGTTTTCGAGTCAGCCAATTCAAAATCGATTATGCAACGGAACTGACGCTGCAGGCTTGACCTACGTACATATTCGTTTGCACACGGACAACTTTACACCAATGTTGTGAACAAGACCAAATTTGCCCCGCTTCTCTGGGATGTCGAATAAGCCAGGCGCGTGCATGGGTCCTGCCACTAAACATTGATTGCACTATGGAGACCACAAAAAGCAAACACCACACGAACAATTACGCAATTGCACTGCGAAAGTGATGAGAACACCCAAAATGCTCAGCAGGACACTTTGATGAAGTACCTTTACAAGGGTATGGGGATGCCGGGCTGGGGTGATGTGAGCAGCAGCGTGCTCTTGGGGTGGCATGAGAAGGTGTGTCTAAAGCTTGCCTCCCATATAAACTTCCTGACCATAAATTTGCAGCTCACAGACTGCCGGCACGGGCTGTATTGTACGAGTAATGACTGATCGGCGAAGAACTGTATGACTCCGCAGCTAAGGCTAATGCATCAGGCATATCTGTCTTTCAACTACACGGTTGGATAACCATAAATACCCAAGCATTCTAATTGACATGACGCAGCAAGACGCATAACGTTTCAGATCCACTACAAATACATTCACGAAGAACGTTACAAAATTACTAATCACGATGAAGACCATTGTTAGCACAATCGCTGTTGACCAGAACTGCAGTCAGTAAGGTCCTTGGTAGAAAGGCGATAACTTACACTAAACAGGCCTAGCACTCAGTCCAGAAAATCCCCCTCGGTCATAATGCGCCCATTGAACATCTTTCCGAGGTGAGTCGGCAGATACCCCATACCTTTCCTTCTCATTTCGAACAACTCCTTCAGCGGAGGAAGCTGGGACCGCTTGAACAAACACAATGCTCTCGCAGAAGAGCGGTTCTCCTCCCTGATGAATCCATCACTGTCGGCTATCAAGTCCTCGTCCCCCAAATCCAGCGCGTTGAGCCCTAAAAAATTGCAAGTGCAGAGATACATCTCGTAACTGGAGAAATACAGTTGACCCGCAAAAAGGTTGAGCTGGCAAATCTGCAGTTCCGATGGCGTCAGATGTGGGGTCGAAGGAACACGGTACAGTCGAAGATCATCGCATGCCTTCATCGTGCGCGTGGTCCGAGGAGTATAGAGACATAATTGAACTGCGTTGCTGTTGCGGATATCAGGCAGCAGTGCATCCACTTCGTGCGGACTCATGACTACCAGCACTCCAACGTTACTGAGCACGATCCAATTGACAGGCCGCAGGTATTCATCCACTTTCTGTGTGGTAAGGGTAGTCCCCACCGTACGAGCGAAGTCACGGGTGACTAAAACGTTGCGTGCCCAGTGATGATCTTCATGAAATTTGGCAGTGGTGTTGATGAGGCTGGATAGCGCTGGAATGAAAACGGGGGACCCTTTGTGAATTCGGCCAGTCTTGACAAATTGACGGACATGCGCATGCAAGTCCTGAGCTGCGGGTTGCACTTTGGACGGCCTTTGCACCTCACGTTCTCTCTCTACCTCGTGGACTACCTCCCTTTCTTGTTCCTCATCCATGCTCCTTTCGGGTCCTGTTAGAACTCCGAGCTCCTCGCACTTGCTTCGAATGTCTGCATCCCAAATATGGGACACCTGTGAAGGACTGTGTGGTGCGTACATATCCTCTAATGAACGCTCCTCTGGCTGCAACCAGGCTGTTTTCAGGGTGGAAATCGAAGTGGTAGGCGCGCGCGAGAATTGAGCCCATGCAGAATGCCGGGCGTTGAAATCTGATCCCTGTCGAACCCAGTGGAATGCACGCATCTGAATATCAAGACAGGTTTCGAGCATTGACCAGTGCAAAATATCCGCAACTTCGACACGATCTGCATCAGCCTTCTGAGTCGCCAAACGAATGCTTCGGTCAACTTCCGTCGGAGCGAAGAACATCACCGAGTGACCATTGCCCAACTTCCGCATTCGCATGCATCCTGTGTCGTTGGTTATTGTCAAAATCAATGCGCATGAACTCTGGAATCACAAACCTTGCATCAGGCGGTCTTTCGTGACTTTCGGACCAAGCGTGACAGCAGCTCGGAAGCCAGAAGGCAGCTTGACATCCGTTCCTCTTGTATGCGCGTCATCAAGATATATCACACACTGGTCGAGCTGTTGGGCGAAGGGAGACGACACAAGGGATTCCACTGTCCCATCCCGACTAACGACAACAATTTCGTCGTCATCGTTCACAAAGACTGCAGCTTGGGCGTCACACTTGGCTCGAAGCCATGTTTCGGCTAATTCCTGATTCTTCAGTTCCAGCATCTGCGCACCAACGTCCAGGAGCACGCGGACCTCGGGGGTTTGTGCTATCAAGGTGTCGATGAAATGTCGCATCTTCTGGCCAGGCGGTATGGGTCTGTAGCAGTTGTTTTCTGGGCTCAAAAGGAACGCCAGGACTCGGGCATTCGTGCTGCGTTGGTAATCGAGTTCATGCTGCACCATTGAGCTTGGCAAAAGATAGCGGTTGTCGTTAGTACCAGAAAAGCCGGTCGTGGGATGTCTCTTCTCTTGAGCGAGATCCCACCCGGAGCAGGAGAGCTTGCTGGGGAATGCCTTTGCTTCCTTGGGAAAAACTACTCGGGACATGTAGAAATCTATGACCGCCTTGTTGAATTTGAACAGTCGTTGAAGGTCAGGGAGCTGCTCTGCAGATTCTGTATTGATTCCGCTAAGCTGACGCAGACTTTCTGGGACAGACGGAAGTCTAGCAACCCAGGATTCATACTCGAGGGCAGGATCATCCTGCTTCAGCAGGAGCTCGAAGCACAGCATCAGTTGCTGGAGCGTTAGACCTGCATAGTAGTATGATAGGCATGTGAGGGTGACAGCAATGTCCGGATGGCCAAACTCTGCCCGCAACGAAGGCATGTCTTTTGCGCGAAATGGAACAGCTAGCATTGTTCGGTTTGGGGCAAGGCCATAGTCCACGCGCCAGCGGCGTTCTTTAATGGTGTGCACCAAGATACCATACGCCAGCAATCCTCGCAAGACTAGAAGGCTGGGCCAGACGATAGTGTCTCTATAGCGATCCTCCACTATGCTGACACAAGTGTTGGATACGTTCTCATTTGCGATAAAACAGCAAACAGCTTCTTTCACATGGGGAGATGCTTGATCGAAGCCTATGTTTTCAAGGGTGCCATTGATGACATCCTCTGCGATCCATTGCACTAATGCGTTACCTGCTGTCGGGTACATAATCCGAACGAAGGGGAACCCTCCGTGCTCACGAATGGACACTTCTGAATGAGAGGGAAACTCGCTCATGAGCCGAGTGGCGTGCTTCGCGACAAGACCCAACACTTGTTGTGTTGTTGTCCACCTTTCTGGATGTCCTTGAAGCGACCTTTGGAGACCCACAGTGTATACCATCTGGTAGCGGACGTGCAGAATTTCATCGCTTTCATCCAGGATGTCGCGTGTGTGATCGTCGAGCCATAGCTGAGTCTGCAGCATATCTTCAGCAGCTTCAATATGAGGGGACAGCTGACGGTCGACAGCCATCAGCTGGAATGACAGAATATGGTCTGGTTGGACGACCAGGATGCCCTTGGCATCCATGCACTCTTGCATCAAGTCACGATACATCTGCACCTTCGATGAGTCGATAGAGAACGCGCGAGCGAATGGGATGTAGAAAATGCGCCTTCGTGCAAGGCCGCTTAGTCGTTCGACCAGGAGCTGGAACATCTGGGCCGACAACGATTTTAGCACGATTACTCGGACCAGTTTGTGGCCATCAGAGAGTGCTGCTGCTGCGAGGGGAACGATGACGTAGGATTTACCTTCGCCCATGTTCAGTTGGAGAGAAGTATTCCCCCCTGTGCATGGTGACATCATCTCTAGCGCGACTTTGACCTGGACCGGCCGTGCTAAAAACTGACTTTCAATCTGAGGATGATATTATCGGTTACCGTTCATGATCGATTTCTTTATAGCGTACCTGTATTAAGAGCCAATCAGGGTACAGCTCCGGATCAAATCCCTCGCATTCTTCGCTATCCAACTCCTTGAAGAACTCGACCCAGTTTTTCTTAGCAGCAGAGACCAACAGCCTTCGCGAGCGTTGCAGTTGCAAAAGTATCTGCGACAGCTGGATAAGAGCAGCACGCCAAGCCTTCCCCAAAGGATTTCCTGCTGTAGAAGCCATGCGTGTGAAAAGGAAATTTGGTGTAACTCGAGGCCATAATCCAGCATTATATAGCGTGTTCTCAGCAGCAGAGGCGGGGGAGAGGGCGTGTGAGAAAGATTCGAGTGAGTCTTGGAATTGCCGGCTATGGAGAAAATGATTCTCGAGCAGTAGTTCCATCGTGTATGGCGTAGAATCTGGTGGGGCGACGATCTTTTCGTCACAGTAAATCGACCTGCTCTGGTCCAGATCGTCGGCGTATTTGCGGTGAAACTTGTCAGTTCCTTGTGCGCGAAAGTCGTTCATCAGCTGTTGCAACCCTGCTGCGACTTGGGAGTCTGGGGATACCAAATCTCTCTGATTGGCATTAGGCAGAGCTTGGGAAGACCCGCACATGCTTGTCACAGGTGGATCTCTATTGAATAGGTACTGCGCATCAACGGATGAGGCCGGTGATGCAATATCCGAGTCTTCGAGGTAGGAATTAAGATCATATTGAGACGGTAGTTTCGAAGGAAAATCTGGCGTGTAGACCCGTTTGAGCGTCCACTGCAGGCTATCCAGGTGTAGCTTCAGGCAACGGTTTCGCCAACAGCTGCGAAATACCGGGGACAGTTTTGCTGGCAAATCAATGAGATTATAATACTTCACTTGCAGCGTATCAAGTGCCGGAGGATTTTCACATGGCCAACCATCCTGAACTTTGCTGAGAATAACTTGTTTTTCAGAGAGAGACCTGTCTTTAAAAGCTGCACGACGACGCTTCTCCAGAGCCTTTTTCTTTTCACCAGGACTTGCAGCTAGCTCTTTCTCCTCGCTGACTTCATAATCTCTGGCATGCGAACCAATGATATTGTTCAATCTCGTATCGGATGGCATGAAGCCATCCGAGAGATCATAAGACGTGAATTTCGGTGGGCCTCCCAGGCAACGAATTTCGGAAACTGTAGCGAAAGCTAGGAGTGTTGGCACGAGTGCATGATTCTCCAACAAGCTGTATGATAACGAAGCCAGGGTGAACACCAGTCGAGGTATGTCTTTCTTCGTAGCCCTACGACAGCAATCGTACGCAGAAAGGAAGACATCAGGTAAACTTGGTTGAAGCCAGTCTTTTGAGTACTGCAAGCTGAGCGCCTCGCCAATGCCCTGGACATTTTGCCACTGAGTCAACAAATCAAGGAGATTCCGTTGCACTGGAAGTTTGCATGACCACTGATGCACCATGAAGGTGATTTGAAATACTCTCTCTTCTGCGACCTTGTCGGGAATATGACGTGAAGCGTAGATAACATCTGTATCGCCGAGCGGAAGTGGAAAAGAGAACTGATCAGGATAGATCGTCGAGGCACGAACTGAAGCGCGCTCAAGAAGATGGTTGGTGAATCGTGGAAGCTCATAGGCAACCTGAAGGTTTGCAGACCCTTCTGAGAAAGTCGAAAGTTTCATTCCGTAATCCATGATAGATTTCGCGGCTGGATGAAAACCATGGTGCTGTGCAAGGGGCGCAAGGCATGACCACGAAATTGTCTGCATCTTCTGAAGATGAGTGGGATACCAGACGCGCTTGGTTGACAGCGAACTGATCTCGCGCAAAAGATCTACATCGCGAGGGCGAAGCTTCATAAACGATCGGCAAGCTGCGGAATGCAAGAGATGCAACGCCTCCTCTGTCCCCGTTCGACCCGTCAGGGGATCAGGGAGACAGCCGCTGGTAACAGCGTGAAGGAGCACCTGATAGAGCTTACTTGTGAGACCCACGTTCCCAGTGAGGCAGCATAGATCTGTATCAATCCTGTACAACTGGTATGTCGTTCGAGTACCTTCAGGAGCGATAGTGACGCGGACACGGTGACCATCAGCGGAGTATAAGATACGACCGTCTGGGATGATGACGGTGCGTGAATGCTCATCCGCAATTTGCAACTTCGGGCGCAAGATGAGCTGATTGACCAAGCCCAACATCGTTCCAGTGGATTGAACGATATCAACGACCATGTTGCCCATGTTACGGGACTGCAGTTCTCCATCCTGGTCGATGAAGAACTCGAGGCCATATCGAGGTAAATCAGCCCTCAACGAGAGAGCGCTGCCGGATGTTTTGTTACACGTGACCGTGATAAAGCTTGCATCCTCCAGAGGACGCAACCTTCTAGAGATCATGTCCCACGTTTGGCTGCGTATGTCGACAAGGGTGGCACCATTGGAATTCTGCGCCGTTGAGCAACCCGAAGCAGAAAATTGCAAAACCCAGTTTTCAGACAATGACTTCCACGCATTTTCTGCTGGGCGGATCTCGATTTCATTTGTGTGCAGGTTGAGCCAATGAGTATGGCCTGCTACCAAGATTGTCGGTAGGTCATCCACGAATTTGTGGCTTGGAATGAGCTGGAGGAGAGGTGAGTCGTGTTTGATATGCTTCGCACGGATGATGAGATCATTCGAGTCACGGAGAGCGAAAGACACCTTCAGGAACAAGCGAGTGCGTCATTAGTTAGTAATAGTTACCGAGTGGTTACAAGAGAGTAACCACTAACCTGATGGTCACAGAAATTTCCGCGTGTTGCATATTCCATTCCACGGATATCAGCTGGAACGATGTCCAGAACTTGCTGCAGTTGGTATATGAACGTGTACCAACAAAGCTACAATTTTCAAAAACTTACATCGCTGAAAATTGATTGGTAAGTGGGATGTTGCACTATCGTTGAAGGAAGTCTTCCCAACTGCTTCCCATCGACAAGCAAGCATCCGCTAATCAAATTGATGCGCACGTCCTGTGGTGATTGGGAATGCGAAGACGCAGTCTGCGCCACGAGCCAACGGGAATTCGGAGCCGCCAGTGCCCTCCAAGGAGTTCCTGGTCTGTAGCTGTCCCAAATCTTGGCCATCGCCAAATCAAGACCCTCCCTGTGAAACTCTGCATATTGGCGAATAGTGGATTCTAATGCATGGCAACATCTCTTGTCTCGCTCTAGCAGGAGTTTGGAATGTTGTGGAAGATTGTCGAGTTCGTTTGGAGTGTTGTCATGAATCATGACCGCACAATATACAAATACCTTGATGTCATCGTGCGACGTTAGGAGCAGTGAAGCATCTCCATCTCCATCGAAAGTGCTACGACAGGTGACTGCCATATCCCGAACGCGCCCTTGTAAATCTCTGCTGACGGTCTCGTCGTTGCTGGCTTGCATTTTCTCTGATAGTTGCGTCAGCAACGTAAAAGTCGCAGTTCGTATCCTTCGAAGGAGCGAATATCCGCAACTTTGAACACTCTCATCCTGAGTCGAGGACAAGATGCGCCACACAAGCATGATGGTAGTGCTGATCGTGACAGCTTCCAACCAATTTCTTTCAATGCTCGCCATCAAATCCTCCAGCTCTCCGAGTAGTGCAATAAGAAATGGCATGCTGTTCAACTCCTCGTGCCAGATAAGGCCGTCATCGGACGAAAATGGGCCGACCTGTGAAACAGCTTGGGCCAACAGTAGATGGACCTCCTCACGTCGAAAATTGAGCGTCCTTGCACGGAGTTCACGAAGCACATTCATCCATTGTAAATGTGGTCCACTCCGCAAGGCTCCAAATGCCACGAATTCGTGGATGGTTACGTCTTTGTGACAATCCGCCTGATTGGCCACGACCTCGTTTGATGTGTGGGATGTCCCCGCAAGGTACTGCTGCATACCATTATATGGTCCCTTCGGAAGAAGGAAAGTGCACGACTTGGTGATGTCGCATCGTAGCAGTCCATCTGTCACCCATGCGCCTGTAGGTGTGTCGAAAGGCTGAAATTGGAGTCCGTTATTCACACAGACTTTGGTGTCCACCGCAGGAATGTGAGGGTTGTTGTAATGACACTTGGAGAAAGGCTTGGCATCCGACGCCAAAGTGAGCCTTTGCCTTGGATGGCACTGGCGATAACGCTGCAATGCACCATAGTCCGGCAGCGTCATGAAGACGTTAGTGTGCAAGATTTCTTCTTGTGGAGTGCAGACGTCAACAAGGATATGAAATGTCGTAGATCTCCACATATCCAACGCGATGGGGCATCCTAGCTCAAACACCACCGCAATCGCCTCCTTTACACAGGCTGGTAGTGGCCACTCATGAACCGCAATAGTCATCGATTTCATCTCCTTTTCCAGGCGACACTTGTGACAGTCTCTCAGTTTGCTATGTGTTGGCTTGCCGTGAGTGGAGACCTCGTAGGTGTGCAATAAACTTTCTGCACGCTTCTCTTTGTCTGCGTACCTCTGGTTCGCGGTCTGGAGCTCGATCAACTTCTTCTCCCGCTTGTTCTGAGCTTCTGCCTCGATGCGAACCTTCAAACTCTGCAGCTCGGATGATTGATGAAAATACCGCGCCGCGAACGACTTGTCATCATTGGTAAACGAGAATGCCGACAGACGACTGGAAGCTTGGCAATGACGAGCCTTCAGGTAGCCGTGCAATGTCTTCAAACGATCAAGGGCGGAAGCTTTGCGGATCAAAAGACACTCCCAAAGCGTCAATGGGATTTCGGGGGAGTATTCTGCCAGGAGTGGGATTTGTCCAACAACGATCTTATCCATCGCTACCCAGAGCTCGAAAAGGGTGAGAAGCATGATAGACAAATTCTCCGGGTTTCCATTATAAGCCGTAAGCGCTCTCGAGGAGTACGCAGAGGCGCACGCCTCGATCGAGACACACGCGGAATCGGTACTTTGGAATGGAATGCGTGTCACCCAGTCATCGATCCCTAATCTAACGGCGGTCTCGAAGTCTGCGAGTGCTAGAGACGGTTCTGCGGCATGAGCGGCTACCAAGAAACTAGCTTCAGCGTCAAGGAAATTATCGATTGTCCCGCGCCTGTGATGGCTGGGATTAGGTATGGTTGATTTGGTGGAGGAATGCTGGTTCTGTAAAGCTTGGCAGATGTACTCTCGGCTCGTGTTCAAGGAAAGATGGGTATCTCGCAAAATTTGGAGGGTCTCCGGAGCCCAAAGAGGCGAGGCCCGTTGTGCATTCTGAACAGATCCCCATCTTTCCTCCAGGACACTCCTTACATCACCGGTGACCTTACTGACGATCTGCGACAACTCTGGAGATGAAGAGGATCCAAGCTTGAAAAGACGGCGCGCGATCTTTGCTGACATGAAGTGTAGAATGTCATTCGATAAGTCATGGTCGAGGGCGAGGGTCGTGAGCCTCGTCATGAAGAACAGCATGAACGACTTATACGTCGTTCGTCCGAGAGCACTGCGCTCCAGAGTTGTCTGTAAGGCAACGCGAATTACAAGCCAGAGTGGAGACCGCCTCCATGGCAACTTCGCGCTGTCCCACAGCACATCATCTCCGATGCGCTTGCGGATGCGAGGAACATCAGCGATGCTCCCGAGGCCACGCAATATACCGGTCAGGAGCTCTGTGATATACCGTGGATGCGTGGTGTCCCTCTCTTCGAGAACAATGGATTTAGCCTTCTTCCTCGTCGCTGCTGCATCGAGGACATCTTCATCCATGTGGACGAGAAAATTTGCCAGCTCGGCAGGAAAGGTAGCATTGTCAATGTTCATATCTGGGACCGTGATAGCAGGTCCAGGATAAGAACATATCAGCTTTCCCTTTGCGCCCATCACTGCGGTGGGGTCAGGAGAGACCTCAAATGACTCGAATATAGTTTCGGATTCGAGTTTTCTCATGACAACCGCAGCGTTTTGCGCGCGAATCATATATACAAGTACATCTGAAAATTGATACTCAGTACAGAAAAAGAATGCAAATGAAAACAACAGACTTTCAGTTTCCATAGTGTTGATTTGATGTTCGACCTCTTCTGCAGACATGACGCTGAATCTGATTGAATCTTTAAGATTGTTGAGCATTTTCAAGATGTTCGTCCAAAGCCGCAGCTTATCGGACGGTAGCTGGTCACTGAACGTGATAGCAGCATCGAATACTGCTTCAGATAAGGCCAGGTCGTTCTCAAGGGACTGGTCACTCCCTTGTGGCAACTTGAGGGGGAGAAATACGTGATTGATGATATATTCATAACTAGATTGATCTTCTGACTTGGATGGACAATTTTCTGTTGAATATTGAGCCATGTTACTGGTGAGATAAAAGAGAGAGGAGCTGGTGACTCACGGTGAAGCCACAAATCTAATATGGAACCCCTAAGCGCTCATCCTCACGCCTCACTCAGGCTAGCCTGGGTAGGCCTGAGTTGGATACGAGAAGCTTCAATGCATCACAGAAGTTTCCCATCAGATCGATCTGAGGAATGCCATCGATACGAGTGTTAAGGCTGTACATATGTGTATCAGAAATGTTTGCAGCTTCTTCCTCTATTACCTACGGAGGAATAGAAAGTTCGAACACATGTGCTAGCCCAGCTGGGTGACGGTGAAATCTGCTTACAAATTCTGTATGAGTCACACTTTGATATCTAGAAAATGAACGCCAAGTCAAATTTCGAAGACGTGCCACGACTACATTCAAAACATGTAGTAGTCCTAATTAGAAATATTGTTCCGGTGCTCTATCCAATCTACGGTGTATCAACAACAACTTGATTACCTTCCCACTTTCAAACCTCGCCTCGACTACGCGCTTCCGCAAGACTCAACTCAATCGCAAATTTCAAATCCGCGTCCATTTCATCTAAATCTGGGGTAGCCCGGAGCTCTTCCTCAGACTGCCTATCATGATTTTCCGTGCTTGCAGAAGACGTGCGCAAGATAGGTGTTCCAACATGTGGGGATGAAGCTCCATGAGATGAAGGCGGCGACCGTAAGGGTGTACTCCACGCCGAACGATTGTGTTCTAGGCTGCTGGTTGATGAGGAGATGCTAGAACTGATCGAGGGAAAGTGTTCGAAAGAGGACGACGTGCTGCGAGCCACGTCCGGTAAAGACCTTGTACTCGTCGAAGAACCTGGCAGGGATGCAGGTATCCTGAGTGGGCTTATGGTGGCGCCGGCTTCCATAGGTTCCGGGACGAAGACAGGAGACACCTGTACTTTCTCATTCGTCGTGGGACGGGCGGCACGTGGATAGGTGCGGGAATGGTGATCGTCAAGCAAACTTGAGAAAGCCGGTAATGCAGGATCATGGCTTGTTAAAGAACTTGAAGCGACTGGTAAGAACGTTTCGCCTTCAAAGTCACCCTCGAAGACGCCTTCATCGATGGTATGGGAAACTCGGCGATGCTCTTCTTCCTCGCGGGAGAGCATCAGTACATATTCTATTGCCTCTGACTCCGACAGTCCAAGCACGTTCAAAGTGGAACGTTGCTCGCATTCTCGCCCCATGGTACGTCGCGCATAAGCATTCTCCTGTTCCAGTTCACGTTTGGATTCTTTGATAACCCTGTGCAAATCGTATCGCTCTGCAACATTTGATCAGTCGAGAATCTACAAAGTATGGAGCGTACATACGTTGTCCTTTGGGAATTGGGTTCCTCGCACGAGCATGTTTGCTTTTGTGCGAAGCTTCGCGGTGGTGTACTTGTCCCACCTTCCATGACATCACCCTATTGTCAGCGACAATGACCAAAAGTTCCTGTTCAATCACAATCCTGCTGACGCCTCCAAATTCGCGACCCGGTGCAGCACGCGGGACTGGGGACGAAAAGAGCCTAAGAGGCTCCAAGGTGACCGCGTCCCATACGGTCGTTGTACCGCGTGCAGAGCCTGTGGCAAGAACAACCGAGCTCCAACCAAGCGCAGTCACGGCACCATCTTCGTGAGCCTCGAATCTGCGAGCAGGTACAACGGGAGAAGATGTTTGCGGAGTGTCCCAATCGTAAATTCCAACGGAACCTTGCAGATCACCAGTGATGATGAAACTGCAATCACCTGGCCGAGCTGCAAAGAAAGGTTCGACGATGGAGTTGTATCCGAATGAAGGATCACCAAATGCGGTAGTTTCGTATTTACCGGATGTAAGGTCAACTACGACACGATAGAAGAACGGTTGATCGGAGTACCCGATGAGTAGCGCTGCCGTAGTCTGTGAGTGACGACGAACACACAGCACAGTTGGCCGAGGTTTGGGTATGAATATATCCTGGGGAGATGACTGTGCCTTTGGAATGGGCGAGACGATGCGATGTTGTGCAAACGATGCCGGGCTGGAAAAGTCGTCCGAATAGACTTGTCGGGACGATGTCCATAAAAGAATGTCTCCGCTATGCAAAGCACCCGCGATGATGCCATCTGCAAGAGCGGAAGACACCTTAAGGAATGGGTCAACCACAAGCGATTGAAGCTGCTTGTCGCTAGACCACAAGCACACAACCGTCTTAGTATCCCACAACTTGACTTGCCCGTCAGCACCTCCGGAAACAAACCGGCTAACAACAGGATCCAACGCAATTTCGTTCACGGCGCCGTCGTGGTGATCTTCGACTTTACATCTAACCAGCTTCGAAGATGCACCCCGAGGATCCATGGCCCTAGCAGCCGTAGTGACTGCCACTTCCCCGTTACGCTTGCCCCAGAAGGCCCTGGCAGTGCCACCATCAGAAGTGAGACGGCAGGTAGAGACGTTGGGTGTAAATTCAACATTGGGGTTTCCTATACCCAATCCTGTTCCGGCAGCGTCAAGGTACCCCTTGAGAACTTTGCCGCTGAGCGGAAGTGAACGAGCCACCACTCCGTATTGAATCGAACACGTGAGGAGACCAGACTCGGACATAAGATGGACGCCGTCGATGGTAGTATCTTGAGGAGAATGAGTAATCGTCCCATTCCGCGAACGTTCCCAGCGCCTGAGGATGAAAGATAAGAGCAGAAACTAAATACGACGCATCCACGAACCTCCTCAAGTTATGCCTCATGATGAACTCCTTTCGCCAAGTGCCTTCTGACTTCCTTAGTAAGAGAATCTTCTCGTTCTCGAGATCATTCTCAGGACCAATTCCAAGGAATTGATTGATAAAGGCCCGGTACCAGGTATTATCATCGTTTATGTGTTCATTGAGTCGTCGGTTTGTTCTAGAGAGTGCGAGGAGCGACGGGGGAGAGAGGAACGATGTGATGTGAGTAAGAGACTCGGCGGGAATGTCGAGAAGGCTGGTGCTTTGAACGATTCCATGTTGGGATTCTTGATAAGAGCTGATTAAAGTTGGTTTGGCTGTCAATTTGTCTTTTCGGGATGTGTCTATAGACCTTATGGGCATATAATAGCAAGGAGATTCGACTGTCTTTAGTGGCGGCCGCAGAAGACTCCGAGTCCGTCTGCGATGTGGTAGGAGAAGGTTGACTATCAAAATGACTCATTAACTTATTCCCAGTGATAAGAGGAAGATCATGTGATTACGAAATTCTATATTACATAACTGATCGCATATTACACTGAGCAGTTACCAGTACCGACAAAACAATTCCAACTTCATATAATTTCGAGTTCACCATGCCAGCCACGCAATCAGAGACTACAGAAAATGTGAATTGAAATTCCACCACCGTCATGTAACTTAAAACATACCTTCGGATATTTCCTCACGATGGCTTTGCGAGTTTCGTCCATGAGCAAGATTCCTAACGCAAAGGTGAACGGGAGACCCCAGAACATCCCAGGGATAGGCCTCGTGCCAAACACCTGCTGGAAGCCAGCTCCATAAAGGTTCACGATGCAGATCAATACCGTGCCCAACATGCCGACAAGTACTAGTAGGTTGCGACGCGGGCCCCATAGAGGATTCGACTGTAGTATCGATACTCGGCGGTTGCGAACCGATAAAAGAGTTCCGTACTGTCCGATGGCCACTGTCACATAGCTGGTGTGTCTTAGGATCAGCGTTGCGAGGAAAAAGAATGACGACGCACTAAATGCATTGACCAACATCGACGAACTGGGTTAGTTGATCGATGGTGTAACCTTGCCAGCCATCCTCCCATTGGCTGAAAGTCAAGAAAACGTCATAGAAACCGAGGCCTTGCTGGCTCATATACAAGAACCACATCGCCATCGCGCAGGGCCACAGCATCAGTCCATAGAACTAGGCAAGTATACGTGAGCATGTTTGGGTCACCTAGGTCATGAAACGTACCAAATAGACATGGAAGAAAAGGCGCCAATCCGTAAGCCTATCGGTCCTGGCGTTGCGTGGCTTGCGCTGCATCAAGTCTACAACAGGAAGTGAGTACTGGAAAGTTCATCAATGCATCATCACCCACCCCATTCCGGCTTCTCATACATCAGCGAGATGGACATAATAACATCGTTTGTGATGCAATAGCAGACTTGTTGATACGAGTTCATGGGAATCTGCATGCCTAGTAGTACATTTGCGAGGACCGCCATGAATTCCGAATAACTTCCAGCCTGCAACACCATGAGTATCAAACCCGCTGAGATTATACTGCTTCCACAAATGCAACTCACAGGCATGAGGTACAATGTGACTTTCTTCAGGTTATCGAAAACTAGTCGACCCATCTCTATCGCGACGGGAATAGAAGCAAAGTCATTCTTCAACAAGATCAAGGCGGCTTGAGAGTGAGGGTATTAGCGTCATCGAAAGGGCCGTCAAGAAAATCCATACCAGCTTCCTTGGCCACATCACTGCCACTACCCATCGCAACACCAATGTCAGCGGCTTTTAGCGCTGGTGCATCGTTAACACCGTCTCCAGTGACTGCGACTGTATTGTCTCCGCGAGCTTTTATTTCCTGTACAATTCGCATTTTCTGGTCAGGGGTAGTGCGCGCAAATACGATCTCTGTGTAGGTCCCAACGATAACATTCCAATCAGGCGTGGTGAGAGATGCGACGTCTTCTCCTGTAAGTACCAGGGAACGGATAGGATCATCTTCGGATGGCTTGATAAGATGATACTCTTTCGGCGAGACCTTCTCTGATGCAGCAGCTCGGACGTCCTGGATGGTGTCGACGACGTGCTGAGTAATGATACCAACCTGAAAAAGGTGTTAGTAGTGATCTTATGGCGGCCGAAATTAAAGAAAATACCTGGCGTGCAATAGCTAGAGCAGTAAGTTTAAAATCACCGGTGACCATAAAGACTCGAACTCCAGCTCGTCGAATGACGGAAATCGATGGCAATACATCCGGGCGGGGAGGATCGCAAATTCCAATCAGACCAACCAAGGTTAGATCGCACATCTCCGCGTACATGAGATCTTCCACGTCGTTCGGTGGAAGTTTAGCCTTGATTTGTTCTATGGGTTTCCTACATCTATTATCTCGGCAACGCCATCAGATGTCAGGTACCAAGTCAAAAGTGCTCACTCACAGCACGAGTACGCGTTGACCCCGGCTTGACCAATCCTCTTGAAGCGTGGCGAACGTCTGCCTCGCCCTGCTTGTTAACGTGACGACTGTCCCATCACTTTGTAGCACACTGGTGCAGGAAGGGAACAAAACATCAGGAGCTCCCTTGACGAAGATCCATGTCGATTCTGCGTCCTTTTCAGACGTGTTGACCTTGGAGACCACGGAAAGCATCCATTTATTGCGAGAATTGAAAGGGATCTCAAACTTCTTCTGATACTCTTGCTGAAGAGTACTGGAATCCACTTCAAGCTCTGGTATTGAAAGGGCTTCGGAGAAACGCAAAAGAGCAGTATCAGTCGGATCGCCCTTGATCGTGCGTTCCTGCACAGGAAGGTGGTTAGTCGTTGCGTCGAATTTTGCACCGTTGCAAAGCCTCGCGATCTGATGGAGCGTCTTGAACACAGTAAAAACAGCAGGGTCCGCGGCCTTCGTAACCCTCTCGTTAATTTCATCGACACCAAATATGTCATCGAGGAAGGCAATATTCTCCACCATCTGTGGGTCCATCAGCAAGCTAGTACCAAGAGCAGATGCATTATTTATCTTACCATCTTTCCCGCAGTCAGCGTGCCTGTCTTGTCAGAACATAACACAGACATGCACCCTAATGTCTCGATTGTCGCCAGATTCTTGACCAACACCTGACGTTTAGCCATGCGACGAGCGACAACGGTCAACGAAAGTGCCACGCAAATCGGGAGGCCCTGCAAGATGTCAACTAAGAAAGGGATATAAGATGTCACTGTTAGCCACCTACTTGCGGAACGAAGGCAGTCAAGCAGCCGATTGAATTTACGATAGCAGAAGACGTGGTGTCATACCCAGGATACGTTGTCCGTAACCAAACGCCATATAGAAGAAGCGACAAGCAGAAGAAAAAGAGCGCGAGACATGAAATGATTTTGGTGAAAAACCAGACCTCTCTTTGGATAGTGGTAAGCTTGAACTTTGTTTCTCCAGACATCTTGACAAGGCGTCCCATGACAGTCCTATCTCCGGTGGCGAACACGACTCCATGGCAAGTCCCTTGTACGACAAAAGTGGAAGTCAGCGCGAGGTTACGAGTCTCTAGAGCATTGTCGGATGTTGCATCAATAGCTCCTGGTATCATTTCGCTACAATTAAACTTTAGCCAAATTCAAGCACGTAGGACAACGAACAGACCTTTCACCCGTCAGGAGAGAACGATCAAAGCGAAGGTCGGATGATGCCTGCACGACACGCATGTCGGCTGGGACACGGTCGCCAGCGCTGAGGACGGCAATATCACCAACTACAATGTCAGCAGCTGAGATGATTTGCTGGTTTCCGTCCCTGATGACCGCGGCCTCGTGTGCAATTAGGGATTTGATTGACTTCATGATTCTGTTCGCGTTCCAATCGACCAAAGCATAAAATGTAGCAGAAATGATAATGACAAGGATCTGTAGTTGATGAGAAGGGGGAAATTGAGTATGAGTGTCGATAGTCACGAACCAAGAGCACGGCAACACCAAGAACGAAAGGTAGAGGAGGCCCGAGTGGTTTATAGGACAGCTGAACTGTGTATTAGAAAGTCACAATGGCAGGTGGACAACGGCACTCACGATAGTCAAGATGAACGCGATCCACATGAGAAAATTGAAGCCACCAAAAACATAATTAAGCGTTTTCTTCCAGTAGACGGTGGGTGGAGGGCTGATGGTATTCTTGCCATCACGCTCCCTGCGACGAACAGCGGCAAGCTCCAAACCGACTGTGGGATGACTGGAATACCGGGTGTATACTTCGTCAACACTGAGTAGATGAGCATCTATGCTTGCAATTGCATCCGCTGGGTCTGGCGGGGACTTGGAGGTGGCCTTATTATCTTCGACGCGAACCGATAATGTACGGTATCTGTTCACTGTTAGGTCAGCGATATACTGCGCGGGGTAGAGATGCGAATAACGAACGCGACTTGAATGCCATAGCCTTTCCCGGACCCGGACTCAGCTGGCTCAATAGAGGGTGTCGTGGCTGCCATCGAAGGAACCTGCTTCAAGATCCGAGTCTTTGCCTGCTCTCCTATTTATCCGGCTCAAGGCAATGCAACTGTGCCTTGCCAGATTTTTTAGGTTTTACCCAGAGGTATTTTTGCGATTCATGCATGCGGGTATTGTTAGTGATGTAACGTTGAAGATCAAAGTGAAGCAGACCCAAGTTATTTTCAGGTCAGGTTTCTTTTCCACCGCATTAACGTGGTTGATGGATTGCACTGCGTGCCTGTACTTGGTGGCACATGGAGCACCATATATCTAGAGTTGAAACTGATGCTCGCAATCCTTGTTTAGTATAGTCTCCGACGAACCATATTTAGCATGTAACTAGGTCGTAACGGAGGACAGAGTACAACAAGCGAGGAGGTCTAGCCTTAGGGCGGCCGAAGCAAGGAAGTCCGAGTCAGATTGACAATAGTATTAGCGTCGAACCATGGATTTAATACAGAGGGTATCCAAGGTTCGGATAGTGGTAGCAGCCCACACTTGTCATCAAGGGACTACTGATGCCGGGGTATTACATATCATATGCCGGAAGAAGCCGCTGGTGACGACCTTGTCCTGGTACTTAGTAGGTACCCCTCCCCACGGCGAGAACTCATCAAATCAGAACATCAACACTAGTCGAACGGACCTGCATCGACTATTCGCACTATACCTATTCTTCTCATCTCATACACTTCTTCGAGGGACAGCTGGTAGATCACCGCCGAGCATGCGCAAGCTGCCGCCGGTTGAACATTGAACGCTCGGACTCCGAACCGGTACCACACGTTTCCTTTCTCTATAATCACCTTCAGTTCCCGCTGCGCATATTGACTCAACATGGAGAATTCAAATTCACAGCTTTACGTTGTTTTCAGTCCCCGTGCAAGTACTGGGCGCTTAGCGCTTATCATCAGAGGACTGGTGAGCCGCAGATATTGTCATCTATGCCGATATATGCTCATATATAGAAAATATTATTGGAATATAAAGCCATATAAAGCCATGTATAATGTCGGAAAACCACCGCAATCACCCAGCTGAGGAGACTCACGAGTTCTCTGATGATGATTTGAGCACGGGGTACGGGTAAACCCACGGTTGATCGCTGACGGTGTGGCGGGTACGGGTACGGTGTGGATTACGGACACCCGCACGTACGCTGTGCATACCGGTTGCGGTTTACGGTGTTGGACGTGGATCCCTGACTTGTCTGAGGGTGCGAAGGTCAAAATCTCATTACTCATAAAGAACCTCCCGAGATGTCACCATGTGAACTTCGACCGCAGGTTCATCGAATAGCAATGTCGATCCAGAGTGATAATCGACGGCACCAGCTATGCTGATTTGCCAGTGAAATGATATTCCATGAGTATTTGGATACTACTCTCTCGGTTGCGACTCTACCCTACTACTCAGCCCATTAATGAGTTGGACGAATACCTTCAGCAACCTCTCGAAAAAGTGGATGACGCCTTGAAATCCGGGTGGTCTGTGCAACAAAAGAAGTATCCTAATCTGTCACGGTCCCACATGGCTTTGGATTACCTGAGCGCTCCAGGTTTGTTTTTTTAAAAAAAGTTCGTGTCTTTGACACTAACAGCTTCCTCAACCGCAGTCGAACCCATGAACGGCCACTGTTTTCACAAGCACGACAATTTTTACACTTCACACACAACCGGTTGTCTCCAGCTTCCATTCGCGCGCTTTCTTATGCCTTTTGTGTATACCTCAAAATACTATATGACCCGCGGGTCTGTGAAAATACTGCGGTATACCGCAAACACTGTTCATACCCGCAGAACTGGCGGGTCGGTATACACCCGTACCGTGTATTTGCGGGTACGGGTGCGGTATGGACCCGCGGGTTCACCCGTGCTCTAACATTGTCATTGATTTGTTCCTACCGGTAAGTATAAAGCCATGTATAACGTCGGAAAACCACCACAATCAACGTAAAGCACCCTGGGGAGACTCTGATGCTAAGTACCGTGAGCTGCCTGTTTGTTATCACTATCGCAGATCGCGTCCACATCTATCTCTAGATCTGTTATGCCGTTGTCCTGAACTACGCGATCTTTGTCACCATTGTGGGCTGTCTGCCTTGTGTCCCCACTGCGAATTGCCAGTGCATGCTCGTCCTTCACCATCGCGAGCTGCACTCGTGGTATCGCATCACATTGTGGCTGCGTGCTCATTTTCCACCATACTGTAACGGAGCGTTTAATTCTGGGGAATCTGTTCGTGTTGACGCCATGCGCGCGCTCTCGGCAATCGAGCCACTTTGATGCTGTGTATGTGCACCTAACGTGCTCTGAAACAATATCGTACACTTTGGCTGCGGTCTCAGGTAATCGATTGATCGAGCGCCCGAACAATTTTCTCTTCAAGATTTATATTGTTGTGGCGTTATGATCTCTTATCACAGTACTGTTGGTACGTTAAGAAGAAGTGGTTCTGGAAAATGGACACCTGTGAGCTCCGTTCAGGGCGTTCCGGAATCAATTATCATATCACGACGTTCGGACATTATTTTCAACCACGGATGAGGAAAGAAACGGCAAATGTAGTCTACTCTTTGTTGCTAATGTGAAGAAATCTGAGAGGATGATAAACGATACTGATATGTCTACAGGTGAGCAGATTGCTTGTAAAAGGTAAGTAGGAGTACCCATGCAATGGGAATTAGATAAGAGCTAAGGGTTCCTAGTCCAAACCATAAATATCAGAAAGAAAAGAGCGTGATAGTGTATGGTGCCGAATATGATTCGATAAGAAAGTGGCCTAGGTCGAAGCCGAGTAGTACTGAGCTCGTGGCAATCCTCCATTCATCGGAGATATCGATGCTGGTCTGGTCTAGCAATTTGGAAAGATCCCTTGGGTACCTAGTGAGACCATCATTGGATATGTGGGACAGTCTTCAGTTACACCGACGAGGGGCTTACCAGGATAATACCAAAATGTTACAGCCAAAATCATGTACACGCCTAGAGAGCCTTGAGTGCGAAACGCACCCAAAAAATGCCACAGATACTTACACATGAGGATCATTCCTTCCAACCAATTTGACTTGCCGTCCTGCACGACGTAATTGACAGTAAGGACTATTTTCCCCTTCCGATTAGCACGTTCTCCAGCATCAATCCATTCACGCACCGGAAAGAAACAGGACAATAGATTCCAGCGGGTCAAAGAGAAGTGTCAGTGGCTTATTCATAATCCAACCAAGTGTCACGATGAATCTGAAACCATCTAAGTAAATACTATGTAAAAATGGACAAAAGCACAACGCACGGAATCACAAAGAGCGCAATTTGCTGAAAACGGTGAGTCGCCATAGAAGCCATGTCTGTAGGAATGACCCACAATACTCGAACCCACGGCAACGCCCAAGCTTAAAGTCAGTTTATCCTTGACGGATACCGTAACTTCAATGACGTGGTCCGCTGCGTGACCAACGATCGGGAGCAAAATAATACCAACGAACTCCTTGTTGATCGACCCGGATGAAGTCAGGCCATCAATTGAGTCAACGAGGAACACTGCAGTAGCAGTAGTCAACTGAAGCGAAATTTTGAGAACTTCGTGTGACTATCACGTTAAGCACGTACCACAGCTACGACAGCCAAAAGCCAAAAGCACACAGCGAGGTTCATCAGTGGTTGAATCTCAGTCTCCACTGATGTTATGGAATAAGTCCCAGGTTCCACGTCAGGATTGGGATCTGTGGGGTGGGACGACGTTGCGGCTGCCTCTCTGTCATGCGTCAAACTCGGGGAAGGCACGTTTTCGCCGTCCGTGATGATCCTACGCCTCCTCAACCGAAATGGATTCTGGCCTGCGTACGCTTTGGTTGGTTGCATATCTTCGTTGACATCATCGTAGAGGGCTTTGTGCGAACATAACTGGAAAACCAGATATGAAGCGTAGACTGAATGATTGGAATGGGTTTAGTCCACTGCTAAGAAAATCATTTTGTTGACCTACTGAAAAGGAGAATGATTGCAACCTACACGAAGAACGTAAGACCAAACATACTACGAACAATAATCTACGCACGCCATGACTAGTTTTCAATATGTTGTAATCGGTCGACAATTCGTCATATCCTGGACCCTGAAGAGCCATGTGAAATGCCCCAGGTAACAGAACAGCAATCACGCTAATGGTCAGCAATGACACATTAAGTTGCACAGCACCTAGGCCATAGACGCAAGCATCAATCGTTTGGACCAACTTGAAACAAGCAACTGCGTACTTTGACCAAATCCCTGTTCCGAGAAGCGGAGACCACCGGCAAAGAAACACATGCCCAGTACCAGCACTGCAGTACACATTAATCGATTTCGTCACAGTAAGCCTAAACACTTACAGAGATTGCTCAGGATGGAGCCCACCACTATAGGAAAATAACACGTGTCAGGTCAAGGGGAGCAAAGCTGTGGGACGCATACAGGACGACTGAACGATTGTAAGCTGACACTTCGCGAGCGCGATTATCTAAAATGGGTCAATTGGTCATCGCATAAGCTGTTGGAGGCTAGCGAGACGTACTGATACGATGAGTTCGACGCTGTGTGTAGAAGGAAACAAGGTAAGAAAGTGATCAACTGAGCAAAAATACTGACCTATTTCCCTATAAGCCGTCAAATTTCAGCGGGATGACAGACTGAAATATGAACCACTGACCAATGTAGCGTTGAGAAGACCAGCTAGAGTTTGACCGACTCGTAACGACAATTCGTCAGTCGCGAAGGCGAGAAGCTGCAAGTAGATCAGACCCGAACAACAACGGAACAATGAATCTATGTTACCTTGGTCAGCGGTATGATAGCCAGAAATGCAACTAGAGCGATGTGTAAGGTAGGTTGCAGTGAAGATCAAATCGTGTACTTACATACAAATGTAAGAGTGTGCTGATCGGGTAGAGCAAAGTTCGTAGCCCACTTTCAGACACCATGCGTTAGATAGTCTAAGCCAAGACAGCAAGAAACATACAGATATCGGGATAAAGACCAATAAGGTATTCAGCCCTGGAGGACAATATCAACGCAGTGCATTGGTTGCAAGTAAGTCGTTTTACATGAAGCAAAAACGATTGCTTGAATGCTTCTCCACACAGTGGGGGCTTTAGCTATCCGTTTTTCTGGCTGCAGCATCAAAGTTGCAGCTCTTCTGAACTCGGCCAGCCAATTGAAGGACATCTTTGGGGGTTCGCTGCCTGAAACACTCATGCGTGGTCGATTGGCAGATGTGGATGATCTTAAAAGTAAGGCAGAATGATGCGGGGACATCTCCCTTGATCGCGTGGCTTTCGCGCATTTTGCTAAATGCCATGTGTAGTGGGCCACTGCTTCGAGTGTGGACAAGCAAGGGCATGTTAAAACCACGTGCAAAAATCAAACTTGGCAGTCAAGCTAAGCTTGAGGCCTGAGATGTCCAGCGTCGTCTCTGCACGGAGATGCCAAATTCCCTGTTCGGTTCGGAAACAACCGACCAAGGGTCCCTTGGTGAGGTCTCAATGCGGGAGACTCGAGGTCTGAAGCTTGAAGCTTCCTACCCCCACTAGCCCTCCCTCTGTTGGGATCCGACGAATCCGAAGGAGACAAGGCCGAAAGGATGAGAGCCGAGAGGGAGAGGCAGCAACCGGCCGAAGCGTAGAGCCAAGGGAGAGGACACCAAGTGCGAGCGCATCCAAACGGAGAATGAGGTCGACGTGTCATGGCCAACTCGTGCGCTGTCCATCTTTTAGTTTAGCTTAGCGTAAATGACTGTACCTGGGAGACTCACCTTATAAGCCCAGGTACCCGCATCCAAACATCTCAGTTTCAACTCGAATACTGAGATGTAAGTTAGTATTTTCGTAACGTTCGACTCGAGGTCTAACGTTATATTAGATTCGCACCTTTGTGTCTAGGTACAATGTTTGTTAATCGGAGTTTCAACTCGAATACTGAGATATTCGTACCTTTGTGTCTAGCTGCGCGTGACCGTCTCGCTATACTCTCAATACCCTCAACCATAAACTACCCTACTGGTGGATCATGGTTACTGGACGCAGCTGGCCTGTCGTCGTTTTGCGGTTGCAGTCGTGCGACAGAGCTTGTACTCCCACTAGGCATATATGATAGGTTCAATGGTATTATCCGGAACAGAACGAGAAGGTCGGCACGGCCGCTATTGGGGTAGCGGTAGCCCCCTGACGAGAACTTTCGCAGGTTCGAAACCGCTGTCATCCCCGCCATCCTGGTGTTCCTCTTGCCCTAGCTAACGGGCTCTTATCTAGGAGACGGGTGACTGCAGTGGGTGCTAAGAACGTTGGTCGGCTCTAAGCCAGTCGCTAGGCGACAGGCAAATCCCGGATATAGGACTATACTTTACGTAAGCTTGTAAGCTATCATAACTTCAAATTTCCTCACCTTGCCATCAAGTTAGTCCTGCAATGCAAGTTGCTCGTCGCTTTGATCAGCCCGTTTCATATGCATGACTTTCAAGAGGACATTGCTGAACGAAACATGGCACTCCTCACTGTACTCAGCCTTCTTCCCAAATTGCATGCAGCCTAGGGCCTGTTGAAGCTTTCCAGCTGCAAAGATGGGCTGCCCATAGTTCCCCTAAAGAATGTCGAGTAACAGGTAAACATATTATATTACTATCACTCTTGATATACATATATATACTGTACAAGCATCTCTAGCTCCTCCAAAAAGTCTAAAAGTGACTCGTAGGTCCGGGAACACTGAGCCATGTCAACTTTCCACCTCAATGCGACTCGCAACAGACTATTATACTAGTTATTACACTAGTTATCACACCCGAGTCACTGGCTGGTCACTACATATCCACATTACCACGCCACGTACAAAAAACTAACTTGCAAAACTGTGAAATAAGCGGCAACCAACTCTAAAATATTTACAGACCAAATCGACACCAAAGGTTTACCAGGCCATTTTAGCAACGATCGACTTGAATGTTCCATCAGTACCAAGAAGACAAGAAAAGGTCAACACGCTTACCTTCGGATAAGTCCTCACGATCAACTTGCGAGTTTCGTCTACGCAGAGAATTCCCAAGGCAAAGGCGAACGGAGGGCCCCAGAACATTCCAGGTATAGGGGTAGTGTAGAAGACACCCTGTAAGCCTGGTCCGTACAGATTTATTACTGCAATCAAGGCAGTCGCGACCATGCCAATCGGAACTGCATAATTCCTGCGAGGTCCCCATAGAGGGTTGGACTGGAGCAAGGAAACCCTCCGGTTTCGGATGGCGAGGAGATTTCCGTATTGCATGAAGACCATCGTCACGTAGCTTATGAGGATAATAAATATAAGCCTTGGGAGTAGTAGGCGTTATCACCACTCACTAAATGCACTGCCCGACGTAAACAAAATGGCTGAGTTCATCCAATGTGTAGCCGTGATAGCCGTCGGTCCACTTGTTATAGGCTAAGAAGACATCGTTGAATCCGAGGCCTTGCTGACGCATGTATACAAACCACATGCTCATCGCGCACGGCCAGGACATGAGCCCAAGGAACTAGTAATAAATGACTTGTGAACTCAAAGTATCACTTGGTGCGGAACAACTTACCAAGTAGATCTGGAAGAACAATTTCCAATCTGTAAGACGGTCGGTTCTAGCATTACGAGGTTTCCGCATCATGAGATCTGTCGCGCAATGAGAAATGGGAAGGACTGTGAAGAACGAAAAGTTTACCTGCTTCAGCTTTCTCGTACATCAAGGAGATTGACATGACCACGTCGTTTGTGATGGAGAAACAAACTTGTAGATAGGAGCTCAAAGGAATCTGCATTCCAAAAACGACGTTCGAGACTACTGCCATGAACTCTGTGTAACTTCCAACCTTGAGTTGGGTAAGCAAGTGTCTTATTTTCGATGATGCATTGGCTTACAGGCATGAGGTAAAGCGACACTTTCTTGAGGTTATCGAATACCAGACGACCCATCTCAATGGCCACTGGGATAGACGCAAAGTCGTTGTTCAATAAGATCAATGCAGCTGAGGGGATTGAAGGTTAAGCGTCATCTTAGACAAGATGTCACGATCTTACCAGCTTCTTTCGCGACATCGCTACCGCTCCCCATCGCAACACCAATGTCAGCGGCCTTGAGAGCGGGTGCATCGTTGACACCGTCACCAGTGACAGCCACAGTATTGTCGCCGCGGGCCTTGATTTCCTCGACGATCTTCATCTTTTGATCAGGCGTAGTGCGGGCAAACGCGATTTCAGTGTATTGCCCGACGATTACGTTCCAGTCAATGGGAGTGAGAGTGCTGACGTCCTCGCCTGTGAGTACCAATGCACGGATAGGGTCTTCTTCCGAAGGTTTAATAGTACGTAGTGATACATCGGCGAAGTGCTTCTCGGACGCTGCGGCCTTGACATCATCGATGGTATCTACGATGTGCTGTGTGATGATGCCGACCTATAATCACGTTAATCCCAAGTACCACGAGGCAGTCGCTCGATCCAACTCACCTGGCGGGCGATTGCAACAGCAGTGAGCTTGAAGTCTCCGGTCACCATGAAAACCCTGACACCAGCACGACGGATAACAGCCACACTTGCGGGCACGTCAGGACGGGGCGGATCGCGGATACCGACCAGTCCGACCAAAGTGAGATTGCATATTTCCGAGTACATCAATTCCTCCATGTCATTTGGAGAAAGGTTCGGTTTCAAGGCGTCCAATGGCTTACGACACCTGAACGAGTATCAGTAAAGTATCCCCATAGCAACATACAATACGTACAAGGCAAGCACTCTCTGCCCTTCACTCGACCAACTGCTTTGGAGATCGCCCATGTGCTGCCTTGCCGCTTCATCGAACGGGACAACCGTGCCATCGGATTTCATCACCGAGGTGCAGGATTTTACCAGCATGTCTGGAGCGCCTTTGACGAGCATCCATGCTGTTGAGTTCCTTTCAGTGATATGCCCTTCGGTCGTTTCAGTCTCCTGAACGACGCTAAGCATCCATTTATTTTTTGAATTGAAAGGAATTTCGAAGAGCTTTCTCCAGGATGACAGCAGCGCTGGCGTATCAATGTTCAAAGCTGGGATAGACAGAGCCTCTGAAAAGCGAAGTAAGGCGGTATCAGTGGGATCTCCTTTGACGTTTCGCTCCTGGATAGGCTTGTCAGCAGTCGTAGAGTCGAACTTTGCACCGTTACACAGCCGTGCAGTATGGTGCAAAGCGCTCAAGCCAGCGAAGAACCGAGGATCTGGTGCTTCGCCGATCTTCTCGTCAATTTCACTAATCAAAATATGGCGATCCAAAAAGGCGAGTGATTCGACCGCCTAGAAGACGTTAGTCAAGGAAGCCGTATTACGTATATGCACGTAAAACGAACCATCTTGCCGGCAGTCAGAGTACCAGTTTTGTCTGAACACAAGACGGACATGCATCCAAGCGTTTCAATCGTTGCGAGATTCTTGACAAGAACGTGCCGTTTCGACATGCGACGGGCAATGATAGTCAACGAAAGGGCAACGCAAACGGGTAGACCCTTCGAGGAAAGGATATGATGTTAGGGAAGCTATTAAGAATAACAAGTTAGATCGTTTACCTGAGGCACAAATGCCGTAAGACAACCAATCGAGTTCATGATCGCGATGCTGATGTTTGCATCATATCCAGGATAGGTCGTCCTCAACCACACGCCGAAGAGCAGTAAAGATAGACCAAACATCGTAAAAGCGATTGAGGAAATGACCTTGGTGAAAAACCAGACCTCTTTTTGGATTGTTGTAAGCTTGAATTTTGTCTCGCCAGACATTTTAACAAGGCGTCCCATGACGGTCCTGTCACCAGTGGCGAACACGATACCATTACAGGTACCCTGTGTGACGAAGGTCGAAGTCAGTGCAAGATTGCGTGTCTCCAGGGCGTTATCAGATGTAGCTTCGAGAGACCCCGGGATCATATCACTGGCAAAGTATGAGGCGAGCTTTTAAATTATTAGAATGTGATCACCTTTCTCCAGTGAGTAGCGAACGGTCAATGCGCAAGTCAGATGAAGCCGCGACGATCCTCAGGTCTGCAGGAACTCGATCACCAGTGCTGAGAACCACGATATCTCCGACGACGATGTCGGTTGCAAGAATAAGCTGTTGCTTGCCATCACGAATTACGGCAGCTTCGTGCGCAATCAGAGACTTGATGGATTTCATGATTCGACTAGCATTCCAGTCCACCCAGGCGTAGAACGTTGCTGAGATGATGATGACGAGCATCTGTGGGGGCTAAATGAAGTGAAACAAGATATGTATGAAAACGCACGAGCAGAACTGCAACCCCGAGATTGACAGCGGCAGGGTCAGGCTCTCCCAGAGGCTTGTACGAGAGCTGAGGGAGAGTGTGAAGCACTGAGTAAAATAAAAGTAATGAACGCGTACTAGTGTGACGATGAAAGCGATCCACATGAGGAAATTGAAGCCTCCGAAGATGTAGTTAAGGATCTTCTTCCAGTGTTGGGTTGGGGGCGGGCTGATGACATTCCTACCATCCTTGGACCTTCGTTGAACTGCTGCCTGCTCGAGGCCAACTGTAGGATGGCAAGAGTAACGAGTGTAGACCTCATCTGTTGCGAGGAGATGGACGTCGATGCTAGCTATAGCATCTGCCGGATCTGCGGATTGCTTAGCCTTTGAGGGGAGGTTCTTCTCTTCCACGCGAATGGAAAGGGTGCGATAGCTATATGGGGGGTAAACGAATGATGGCAAACACGTTCTAGGCTACTGCGCACCTGATCTGAATTCCATAGCCTGGGGCTCTCTCTTGCTCAGAAGACTTTCGAGGAGAGTCTTTCATGGTATAGAAGCTACCTCCACGACTGAGACTGAGCAGGAGTAGATTGACGCACTGGGTCTTTTATCTGAGCGCTCTTGTGGATGGAAAATATTGATTTGGGTTTATTTTCAATTTTTTTTGCTGTGCACGCAGCATAAGGTGCGGGATTTATGCCATTCCCTATAGATATCGCTACCAATATTATCACATAGCTCTTAACTTGGCACGTTCTTGATTCAATATACTTTCGTGTGCTTTGGCAATTGTCGTAATGGTAATGATGACCAGACTATTCGGGAAGTTACAAACTACTGATCCTGGAAGCACTGTTCCTGGACCTGTCTAGGCCTTAGGCGTTCTGCAGAATCACGGAGAGCCGGTAGCTTTTCTCGAGGACGGTTAGCACAACGCCGCTGGACCGAACCCGCTAAGTAAGGATGTAAAGGACGATAATAGTTCGGATCAGGAATGGCATGGCAATTCGCAGGTAGTTACTAGAAGGGTTCGCCAGACGAGACCAAGAACAAGAAATGACGATTTAAATTAAAATGTTAGCCCCTGGTTATGTCACTACTCCTGGCAATACGACAAACCCAAGTGCCGCGGTGAATCTCAGCCTGGTACCTAGTCGGACTCAAATCTGTGGCAGTGCTAGGTTGCTCGGACCATCCATTACCGGATTATTTTTATGCGACGTCACGCGCGTCTCAGATTCATCCACATGCATTGCAATGGCACAACATGCTCATAAGTCCCAAGACTGGCGAGACTTGGGAACATTACCCACTGACCTATATAGACAACGCAGAACAACTTACCAGACCATCTCGACCATGCCCCGTTCGTAAACCCAGGTGAGCATCGAATCATACCTCTCATGATGTGCCATTACCATCAATCATACTACTGACGCAAAATATATTCGCTTAACTTGCAGGTTAACCCACACCCACGATACTCTAACCCGGGTGGACATCTGTACCCGCGGATTTGATGCGGGTATTACCTGGGTCGACTTATACTCATACTACCGGTAGCTGCAATAATCCCAACGCAAGGTGAGATGACGGCTGATGACGCGTGACGCGTGACGGCCCGAATAAAGTCTGGGGTGACAAGCAACATCATTGGAAAAACTAGTCAAAAAAGGGCGCCTTGCGTGAATATGCTGTACTGTGGCACGGAAATCCCACTGCGGCCGGAATTGCTGATAGACGGATAATGATACGAGCCTGAGATGCGGCCTGATGCGGCATCAAATGACGAAGGTCAGGCACAAGTGTCAAATGACTTACAGATGCAACCCTTGCGTCCACCGTAACCGACGTGTGTCTGTGGCATAAATTACGCACGTACGAGACCGCAATGGTAGATCAGCCTACATAACAAATTCCTTATCGCCCTTTCTGAAGGTCATGACAACTTAGAAAGTTGTCAAGTATTTTGGCGACACCCGGCGATTCATGGTTTTGACACCCGCGGTTGAGCGAACAAGAGAGACATCAAAAGTCAGTAAACAAGATCATCCTGATGCGTACTTTGTATTATGTAAGCATGTTTGGTTGGCATGGCCGCCACTGGCACTGCAGCTCCGGGTCAATCCTCAGCTCCCTGAATCCTGGACCTGCCACAAGACATGTGCGCCGCGCTACAGTTCCAGTACAACCTATATTGGCCTACGCCCAAGTATTCCAGTACTGGAAATCATCAAAAGGGTCTGTGAAATGTGCTTCAGAAGTTCAAGCTTGGCTTGCTGGCGCTCCTTAGTGACCAAATATGAACTCCAATGTTTCCACAGCGCTATTTTTTCCACAGGTGGAGTGAAGAATGCCAACAAAGAATCTGTCGATCAGGGTGACCTTCTGTCCAACGAGACGGTCCGGAGTCGAAAACAAACGCCTCAATTCTCAAACCTACCCCCCAATTCTTTCGTACTTCGAGCCACGTACATCTATTTGTCGTCATTACGGGCTGGTCACAGTGTTCAAACGTTCATTCATGAAATATTAATCAAATCAAATCCACCTTGGTGGTATATTCGCCGCCAAGTGACGTGTGAGTGTTGGCTAATTCTTTCAGAATGAACCATGTTGCCAATTCTTAATAAGCATCAATACACGCTCTTCTCGAATGCTAAACATCCAAAGCCCCTAGCGGAGAATCTTCGACGAGTGTTAATTTTGGGGCAAGTAATGATTCTCCCGTTTGTTCACACCGGTTGACTCAAATATGTCTGTTCTTGATTAGATATTTTTATGTACCCTCCGGGAGAGGCAGTTGCATCGTGATGTACCATCCCTATAAAAAGCTTTGAAGTTAAAGTTTTTCTTTTTGAAGAGAAGATAACATTGCCTCGACAACACAGTTGAACCTTATCTTCCCTTCACTCCACCGTCATAGCTAAATCACACGACGAACATTCCCACTGAAGAAATAGACGGAAAGTGGAGAATCTGAAAGATCTTGACGGTGCGTTCAACCGGACTGTTCGTAGTAACCTTTCCTCTTTGCTGTCAGATGATATGCACGATGAAGGCGGATGTAGACTTCTTCCCGTGATTTTCAAGGCGACCACTCGTCTCATGTGATAGTGCTTTTATCAGAAGTCTTTTGGACTTCTTTTGCGAAGCTCCCAAAGATGAACTTTGGGGCGTCAACTGAAGGTTGAAGATGCCTCGATAGGATTGCGATAGGATGCTTCGGAGCGATGTCCAGAATGTTGACTCACTCGACGAGTGATACACTCCTTCGTACACACGATGATCCGATCGTTGACGCAAACGGGCTTTTCACATCTCGAGAATTCAAGTTGAGTTGTGTTGTGTGTTGTGAGCTTTGTGCTTGTTATGATTCAGATGAAGTGCCAGCACAAAACATATGATTGTATAATCTATGTATAGTTTCTTCCTACTGCACGCCACACGAGATGTGGGGCCGCCGGCTGTGATATCCCACATCTTTAACTTTCACATCTGGTTGTGTAATATGGGGAATTGCTCACGGGCACACCTCAGTGAGTAACCCTCTTCCAGCATGTTCTAAGCATGTCCTGACGACATTGAATACACTCCGCAGCTGCGTTGGCAGATTCATCGTGATCAGGGAAAACTTCCCCCGGGGCCCCCAATTTGCAGTAATTTCTAGTTCCCGACATCTCGAGAATAGGGATATGTATTATGTTGAGCAAATCAGGCATCCCAGGAGCCCCAAACCTCTATCTCCTGCAGGGCTTCACAACATTGTCCGGACCTCGTTCACCTCATCTCTCTTGCACTTACATAACTCCACCTCCACATCCGACGTCATTCAGGACATCGACCTGATCACACTCTATAAACAATCTTCAGGCTCCTCTCATTTAGTTGTTTTGAACCTTTGCCCTAGCGATGTTCCATGGTCATATAAGCTGATGATGAACCATCGCTTTCCGAGGATGGAATCGACGGCATCACTGCCATGTCGGTGAGAGACCCTAAGCCTGCGCAGATTTCACTCAATTGAACAGGGCGCCATTTATCTCGACAAAAGGCTACGTCACTAGACCTGAAATAAGCATACCCCGCGTCCTCCGATGATCAGTGATTCTCTAAATATATTTTCCAAGGGGTCCAGTCATTTCGCTTGCGTTCAACATGACGTCAAAGGGATAGAGAAAGAGCGCTCGATATTCAAAACTGCGGGCCACACTTCGTTCGCGAGGTACAGAATGAATAAACTTACGCGTTAAACACTCACGCGGCAATTGAGCGGTGACCGGTGGTAACGTGGCGTGTTACCGACCAAAGTGTTTTATGCCGTGTATATCGCCCTCTGTAAGCTCATTCATTTCATCATAGCTGCCGAACCCTGTGCAGCGAACAAACGGAGGTACGTTTTCCAGATTTGCTTTGTCCGAACACTGCGTTGACGCAGGGCTCTCTCTTATCAGCAGCTATCTTGATCCATTCCCGGGCTCAATCTTCGGTACTCAGCATTCCTCGAATTTCTACGAATTTCTACATAGACCTCGAGGAAGTTACACCCGACATTGGCCCGAACTCTACCGCGATATATGCGACTGACTCATCTCGACATGGAAGTGCTACCTAAACCTAACTCTCTATTACGCTCGACAAGCGATTATCTCAAACAGGCGGCCACCATTCTTCTTCTACGCCGCAATGGAGCATTCATTCCGCTATTCACTCGGCAATCGAAGCAGCAACAGCAGCCTCATGTCTCACCACGCCGCACATCCCGTTTGTTCTAGATCTACTGTGACAGAGCTCCAAATTCACCTTGGAACATCAGATCCGATCGGTCATATCAAATTTTTAGTCATTTGACTACAAAAGACACTAGTATTGCACGTTCAGTCCGTACCCCGGTAGATATCCACCATACCGTCAACACGAGGCTCACAGCATATATACTCGGAGCGCCCGATATCCGGAACTACATCCTCAACCTAGCCACCTCACATTTCATCATTTACTATGTTGGACGCATTCAAGATTAAGGAGTTCAACCTGGAACCCATCTACGAGACTTGGGAGAACCCTCCCAGATTCTTGGGCGAGTCGAAGAAGGATATGCCCGTCGATGACTTTCTGCAACAGATTAGAGCTGGTTGCGCCGAGCGGAAGGTGCCAGAGGAGTACTGGCACAAAGTCGCTCAACACTACATGGGAGAGAAGGCGAAAGCCCGACTCCAGGAACTCAAAAGCGTCATGGCGAAAGTCAATGGGGGCAAGTATCGCTGGAGCTGGAAGAAGTTCACGATTGCGATGCGTAACATGGGATGTACGTAAACATCTTCATTGCTCCGCGTGTTATTGACTCACGCTATTACAGGGGAGATCGAAGCCCACATCACAGAGACCGTTCAGATCCACTCTAAACCGTCAGGCATGTTGTGGCTTACGAGAAGGAAATCCTTGAAAGACAAGGATGGGTCACACAAGGAATTGACCTCTTCTGACATCGTAGAACTTCCACCGCCCCTGCCGCCCCTGCCGCCACTGCCGTCTCCTAAGCAGGGACGGCCAAACCCGATAAAGATGCTTTCTGATTCAGCCCTCGCCGCTTCGGCTGTAATCAGGACTCGCAAGATGCCAACCCGTGCGAATTCCATGGCTTCTGCGATGACCTCCACCACGGTTTCATCTAACCATACCGTAACCTCTAACCACGCGTTAGCCTCCAACCATGCGTTGACCTCCGACAATGCGGTAACTGCCTTATCTTCCCCATCAGCTGACGGCAGTAAGTGATACGCGCTAGTCCATCTAAGTCTACAACTGAAACTCGTTTATCTAGCTGTCACAGCTATATCAAACGCACCAACATGGCTCCTTAATGCGTGCAACGCCCTCAATTTTTTGAGTGCGGAGCACCCACGAGCCATGACGACTCTAAGTGCTGTTCTCATCACTGCAGGGACCCTCCCTGCAATCCCTGCGATCGCCGGAGGGACCGTGCTCGCTTCTGGTGTCGCTCAAGCAGTGGGCGCCATAGCTGTGGGCGTCGGAAACTTACTCAAGGCTCAACAAGAAGGCCAAGTACAAGCAAATGGCCCGCACCCACCACCCCCAGCACGATCATCTACCTTCTAATCCCGATAGGCGGTGATTCAGTAAGGTTTTTCTTATGGGCTCCGCAGCATTCAAGCTCGCTGGACGAGCTCGTGGACAATATGAAAATAAATTGCAATATTATCTATACCCTTGCATCACCTCGCATACACTGCATTCTACTGATTTCAAATTTTTGGGAAGTCGATAGCTATATCTGTGCGCTTTACGTGCCGACGCATCATGTACAGGACAATGTAATAGCTAGATGAAGGGGAAGCAATCGATATTGCTCAATTGTGGACTACTGCGATAGAACATCCGTGGCGAAGTACTGTAAGAACATCACAATCTTAAGGTTGATGATCGGTGAATTGCTCTCCGACGACATTAATATTAAACTTGGGTTAAACGTAGTACGCTATATATGGCACACAAGCATCGAGTTCCTCCACCAACAAGCAAGCCCTTTATGCGAACAACACTAGACAAGTCAAGTAGACATCTCGAAGTGATCTAACTCTATGCGAGCCCAAAACAAAAGGCTGAGTGACCCACAATGCAACAAATGAGGTCAGATGAAAGGTAGGGTCACTCTTTCGTGTAGCCCTAGTCACCGCTCTAGCACATAGTTTCCAATTAGGTGCATATCGCGCAGCACAGATGACACTCTATTTTGTCACTGATTATGAGCGCAGTACTGGAGGTTTTCGTAGCCATCTGCCTTCAAGATCTGGAACATCACCAACATGCTGACCATCAACGGACAGGCCGCCGTCGACATATATGTGGTCCAACGGGATTCCTGCATCTCTACATATTGTAAGGAAGTCCTTGGGTATAGGAGCCCCGATCGTAAGTCGGAAGTGTTTTTGGGGCCCTGTCTTTCTGTACCTCTGAGCATATACGCATGAGAGACTTCATCAAATATCGACTGTTATCCGCGGACTTACTGAGAGTGTCAACTGCGCCGCGTGCAAGAATATCCTCTTCTCGGGCAGTCGAGTGATCTTAGCAATCTTCTCGGAGATGCTACTCCTCGCATACAAGTTGTCACCAAGTATAGGCGCTATAACCCCCATAAAACACTTCGAAGATGTAGGATAAGTGATGACGCACTGCGTAAGGAATGTGCCAGGTGGATGCGAAGTTGATGTTTCAGCCCTGTGTGCAGAGTTAGCCTGAGCAGCGACAGCGGTGCTACAGGCTACGGTATATTTTTAATGCATCAGCAGTAGACGGCAGTTGATGACACGCACAGAGGACGCAATAAGCTCCCAATCAGTAGCAGCGAACTTTGCAGCACAGCTCTCGCCTATAGACACGCGCCCATCACTGAATTCCAGGGCGTCCCGAATCTCTCCACTGCGTGTTGGGAAGGACTTCTCTCCTCCACGCACAAGAGCCAAATATGTTTTCCCTACTACCCGCGACTGGAATTGTTGTGAAAACTGACGAGCAGCTGGGGAGTTACGCGCTAACAGTAGTGTTCCGGTGGTAGCCTGACAGCTAGGTTAGCCAGTGCTCATCGAACAACGTGAAAGGGAACATGCCTTATCAAGGCGGTGGACAGGATACGGCAGGTTCTCCAAGGCAAAAGTATCTTTTACGTCTGTCAAGCGAGACAAATACCTCGCGTCATGAACGTCAAACAAGAGAAGCAAGTACGCACCACGAAGTAGGTCATTGAATTTATCAACATCTCGAAGTTTCTGAATGTTATGCCAGAGGTTGTGACAATCTCCTTTGCTTTCCAAGAATGAATTCACGTACGTTTTCGGAGGAAGCTTCGGAGCC